TACATTATTAATAATTGCTGAAAATCTAGTTGAATGATCTAAACACTGATTGAAAGTAATTGTGGTGGATGATGAACATGTATTAGGAGTGTTTTAACTGATTAAATTTTTCAGAACAGTGTATTTGATAAATTGTTTTTTTAATAAAACATATTTGTATAATATTTTTTGAGATACGAGAGAAGTACGATAGAAATATATCGAAGTACCATGGTAGTACGATGGGAGCGAGGGTACGGAAGTATTGCTTTTTTCCACTTGGTCACCACACTTCCTATGACCATCTATTGGAAAGTTATGAACATCTCAAGAACCGAAAAAATGCTCGAAAGTGCAACAACTCTTTATTTTACTCAGAATTTTGCGTTCTTTGCCATGACGTTACTATAAAACTGGTTCAATGAAGTTTTTGAACACTTGAAAAATGAAGGTTTTCGCTTTCTATCAGTTTTCATAGGCAAAATTCTGATACTGAATGAGTTTGGTAGAGAATTTGGTAAGCTATAGAAGTCACTACTAATTAGATCTATTTCAAAGTTTAGTAACGCAAAAAAATGTAGGTGGCTAATTTTTCGACTCACAGTATATAACTTATTTCATAGAATAACTTTTCTAGCATTTATATCTCACTAAAAAAATAGAAGATGTTTCTAGAATATTCATCTTCAAATAAATTGACACTTGTAACTATTTATTTCTTATTGGCAGTCAGATACAAAAAGACTTGCTAGATTCATGCCGATAGATATCCTTTCATTCTAGTGTTCTTTTAAAGAACTCTATTTGGATTGGTTCGATATGACTCATGATGAAAAAATGCATATGTCATGATTACTTTTGTTATAAAATTCTCATATCTAAGAATAAATGTCTAGTACAATATTTTCCGATGGTTCTTCCAAGTAATATAATATTTATCTATAAATATGATTTTTATTTTATATGAATTTTTTTTATTTAGAATCAAAACTTCAATTCCACATATTAATTCATTAGATAATGCAAAATTTAAAAAACTTGTTCAACGTATTGCTGATAAAACAGGACGACAAGTAGAATTTTCTCTTTTAATACTGTTGCATTTTTATTGATTCAGTTTATTTATTTAAGAATGAAACAATATTCACAATAGATGAATTAAATAAATTAGAAAATGCATTTGGATTATCCATAGATATTATTAAACAATTAATTGAATCGATTGAATATATATTTCTTCAATCGGCTTATCATTTAATAAAACCACAAATACTTGAAAATGATTTAATTAACGAACAGAATTTTGATGAAACTAAAGTAGAACTTTATTAAAATAAAAATAAATGTTTTATTTAATTTATTTCTAAAAAGGCTAAAATATTTGTTGAACAATGGTCAACAAGTGCTAAAGAAATCGTTGAACGTTTAAAATCATCTCATATTGCTTCACATTCAGTAAAACAATTCTTTCGTCTTTTTTTTAATTTAATTTAATCATTCTTTTAGTTATCCGATGTACGATGGACATTAGATGTTGGTATATCACAAGCAAGCAAAAGTAAAGTTAAAAGACCAACGGCTATCTATGAATTTCAACTTAAAAACGAACAAACACAAGTAAGAAATACATCTTAATGAGTTGCATATTTATAGTTATGTCAGGTGTATTTTTAAATTTTATTTGAATATAAAAATGAAAACTTTTCCAGGTAATAACAATGTTTTTTTTCTTTTTCTTTTAGCAAATTGAAAACATTCAGACTGAATTTAATAAAGAAGAACTTTATGTATTTTTTGAAAAGGTAAATAGGACAAAAAATTTTATATGAATAAATAATGAATTATTTATCTTTTCAGCTTGAGTCAATTCAAAGTCAATTAGATGCATTAATGACATAATTTATTACGCATATATCGCTCTTTTTTTTTGTGATTTATTTTTTTTGAAATTAAACAGATTTTTAAATGATAGTGATTTTTTTTTCTAGATAAAAATTCTAAATATAAATATAAACAGTCGATCAATACTAAATAAAATTGAACAATATATCTTTGTTTGAAAAGAAAGATAATATAGTAGGTCATATTCAGAGCTTATGCTTTTCTATTAGGCTACATACTAAAGGTCAATATATATTCGAAAGTACGCAGAATACAGACGTATATATTTTAGTCCATGCGTACCATGCATGTTACTAAAGAGAAAAAAGAAATAATAACGAAATGAAAATAACTTGAAGGAATTCTTTGCCTTGAATACGTTAAGGTAAGTCTGATAAGTGCTACGCGTCTTATTTTAATAGGCATTAATTTTTTAAGAATGTATTTTAAGGACATTTACCATATGCTATTTATAGAACAGGTTAGAAAATATTGTAGGAGATATTATCGATATATAATTTTATAATATAGAAAAATCAGAGTATTTATTAAATTTTTAAAAAAATATGAAATAAAAAAACAATTTTGTATGTTATGTAATAATATTTTCGTTGAATTTACGTATGATGTTTTTTTCTTTTCTATTGAATAAAAATTAGATTAAATAATGTAAGAGAACCACAGGCATTTTGTTATTTTATATTAGATAATATTCTGATTTTCAATAAATTCGCTTTTATACTAATCATATTTCGAATATCCGTATTATGAAAAGGTCATCGAAAATTTTTTTTCTATTCGCTTGACGATAAAATCGGATGAGTCATATATATACATATATAATGTTCGTATGTATGTGATTCTTTATCCAATCATCCTCATATGGTAGTCAGGCAGAATAAGAAGAGGAAGTAATAAAGCGTATCGTTTTATATTTATAAAATTTTAATTCTAATACTCAATATAAAAAGTATTAACGAATATCTTCTTATAAAGTAAGAAAATTCTTTTTAGTAATTAGTCACAAAGTTCAATTGTAGTATATTAGAATTTATTTTCTTTCTACAGAAATAATTTGTGCATAACATGATACATTTATAAGTATTAGTTAATATCAGTTTCGATTCACCTTGATCGAAAGTATACTATACTATTCATCAGACTCTTAGTTCGATTCAGGGACATATAAATAATAGGAAAACGTTTTTCTTTCTAATCTATGCTGTCAACCTTGATTTGAAAGATATCTATTATTATATTTGTTTAGACGCAAAAGAGGGTTAGATTTATACAGTAATGAACAATCAATAGGAGAGAGTATGGGTTTTATATGAAAATATAATCGTGATTCATCGTTTAAAATAGACCTGCGAACATTTCACCATTATTTTTGTGTGAAACATAGAAAAAAACAATCGTACGCAAGTATCAAATTATGTAAAGGTCGTTGAAAGTACGTTAGAATACGTGAACTGCGTTTTTATTTTTATTCGTTCTATCATTCCCCCATTTCCCTAACAAGGCAGGAAGACAAAAAAACAGCCCTTTTTCTTGCTTTCTGTCGTTTTTCTCCGACTATTTTTTATAATTCTCTTTTTTTTCTCATATAATACTTTTGTTTTTTTGTTTCTTAGAACTAAAAAAACAAGACGCTATTAACGTTGTGTCATATTAATATTTTTTTCTTCTTCGATCTAATTTATTAATTATTATAAAAATTTATCAAAAATAAAAGAAAAACCGATGGATTTAATGTATGAACCAGATCTCCTATTCTCCATTGATATGGATGAATTAGGTGTCCGTCCACAGAAATGGATAGATTTAAATAAAGATATTGATGCTTCAATTAATGATTATTTTGGAAAAGAAAAAACAATTGATTTTACAGCTTATTCAGCAGAATTACAATTTTCAAATAATGGAAAAAAATTAACAACTGATGAGGAAGATTCAGCTATGTCAAGTGATGATTATGATATAGATCCTGAAACTGGTAAATAGATAAAAATAACTTATTTGACTGATAAAACATTTTTTTTGGAGTATAAAATGACCCACTTTTTTCGAGTTATAAAATATTGAATGTTTGAAAATTTGAAAAAAATGAGAATCTTAAATAGTAAAATAATTTTCTTTTTTCATTTTATAAGCATGAAAATATTCTTATCATTGTCATTAAAGTCAATATTGATCTTACTTATTCTTTATTTTCAGGCGAGAAAATCTTTCGTCAAACAGCTTTGGTATCAGATACTACACTTTCGCCATCAAACGATGTAAGTTATTTATTTTGTCATTCTTTATTGAATAATATTTTCGTATAATAATGACATTGCAATTTTTCATTTTTGTAGAAATGGATCGAAGAATATTTATCTAACATTCAATCGTCGTCAAATCAAATATTACCAGCAACAACAACTAGTAGTAATAGTGAATTATTACTTGAAAATCTACCTCTTACATTACTTGAAAATACCGATGAACAAAGTGATTCAGATTGGCTTTCAAGTATAATTAATTTAGACGACACTAGTGATAGTATCATGTTTACTGATACAATTTTATCAAATCAATTTATAAGTGAAAATGAATCCTATCCAATCTTAACCGCAGGTTCATCATCAAATGAAAATAGTAATGAATCTGTATTAATCAATTCTTTGAATGTTTCAATCGATGATGATTATTCAATGAATAGCAATAGTAATAATCGTCAGCATCGATTATATTCTTCATTAACAGTATATTAATAAAATTCATATTAAATAATAATCGTTAATTTATTTTATCTTTTTTAGAATGATAGTGATATAACATTTATTGAAACAAAACTAGAAAAAGTATGAAAATAATTTTTAAGAAAAAAACAATGATTTATTTATTTCGTATTATTTAGATTGACCCAGATGATAGTTCAATGTCACATATGATGATGGTACGTCGTTCAAGCGCACGTTCAAGTAATCAAGGACAACAAGATGAAGATGCTCTACGTCAACATAATATTCCATTAACTTTATATGATATATCTCAGTCAAGTACTGAAGAATACAATCTTCATTTACTTCGTTTAAGTCATTTAAGTTCAGAACAAATGCATATCATTAAAGATATTCGTCGTCGTGGAAAAAACAAAGTACTATTATTTATTTTATGCAAAATAACAAGAAAAAAACCTCTATGTAATATTTAGGTTGCTGCACAAAATTGCCGAAAACGTAAAGCAAATAGTGTTGACTCCTTATTGGATGAAGTTGACGAACTTAAACGTGTTAAATATGAATTAGAAGAACAAAAACGAGTATTTAAACAACAAGTAAATTTCTATTTGGTTTTTTTTGAAAAAGAAAAAATTTATTTCTATTTAATTTAAGATTGATGAAACACGTCGTCAATATGAATATCTTCATCGTCAAGTTTTACCAGATCGTCAAATACCACCAGCAATTAGTGTTAATTAACATTGATATTTTTCTTTTTTTCTTTTTTTTTTGTAAATACTTTTTCTTTACTTACGTCCCTTGCTTTCAAACCTATATATGTAAACTTGGTTTTTTTTCTGCCATTAACGTTCAATTTTGTTTTTTTTGTTGTATTAGCAGATTTAGTTACCGAAAAAAAAACACGATGGCTATCAGTAAAAATTCGGTTTCTTTCGTTGATTATATCAATTAATTTTTAAGATTAAGAAAGAAAAAATAGTTTAGCTTAAAAATAGATATGTACGTATTAGTATTATTTGATGAATAAAAAATATTATTATGCTTTATATAAAAAAAAAGTTCTGTTTTTGATAACTTGCATACCATCGAATTATAATTTATGACTCATATGACAAGAAGATTTAAAATCTTCTAAATAACAGAAACCTCCTACTCTTTCTGTCATCATCTTATCTTTTGTAAAAGTTTTTATCAATAATAATGATTCATTTCGTCACAATGACCAACTTTGTATGAATAGTGGTTTGTAGAGACGTAAGTCAAGTGATCATGTGAGTCGATTCCTTTGAAAATTTTCTCAGTTGACGTCATTACTACTACTAAATCAAGATTGTTGAGAATATTAACAGCTGCTATTATATAAAAATTTATTTTGCTTTTCTTCTATCGTTGATTAACTGAATTTCTACCCAAACTTTCTGATTGTCTATATTATTCTTCATTCAAAACTTCTTTAGTTCATGGTACAAAGAATATCCATTTTGAAATTTTCTAGTTGCTGCCAACAGATAAATCAAATTTTAGGCTACCATTGATTAGAGCCATGCATGTTTTTACGCTCAGACCACCGGCAGATAAAGGCGTAAGCCGGTAGGGTAATTAGTTGCGCCGCAAACTTGATATTCCAAGGATACACAGCGGCGACGGGTTGATAATTTCGAATACCACCGGCGGCTGCTCAGACGCACGACTTACACCTCTACTAGTAGATACTTTTACAAACATGATGACTTCTTTAAACATCGAGTATGTAATCATACGCACACTTGGACCGAAATTTTTTTAATATCCGGTACTCGAAGTGGGGCCCATCGGGTCCGGGTCCGGGTACCGAAGCTTTTACTGACCGGACCCAGATCGAAAGAAATATGTTATCAATATAATATTTTTTTTTGAGTTTCTTTAAATTTTTATTCAGAAAGTCTTGAATTTATTTATAGAAATAATAGAAAAAACAACAACAAAATTATTTTCGAAGCAACTATCAGATTTCAAGTAGAAAAATTTACTGAGAATCTAAAAGTACAGCTCGAGTTCAGGCTAGTGCTCATCAAGATTGGGTCTGACTTGGATCCGGACCTGACTTCGGGTACGGGTCTAAAAAAAGTTTATCGAACGGGGCCGGGTTGCAGGACACTACCACCGATCAACCCTTCTAGTAGTTTATATCACATTACACTGATGTAAAATGAAATGTAACTCTATTTTACTTGTCAAGACAAGATTTAATCAAATGTATAATAACAAACTGTCATATGATATGAAAATTTAATCTTCATTTATAATTTGTTTTTTTAGATTTTCTAAATATATTTATTTCAATAAATGATTTTGTTTTTGCACGCATAATAAAAAAATATTTTTTGTTCATAAGCGACTAGAAAGAAGATGATGATGATGATAGTAAAACAAAATTTATAAACGTTGATCTAATGCTCGTAAATATTTTGTTGCAATTATTTTTGGTAATATTCGATATCGAAAACCAACCATAAAAACCAACCATATGGGCAAAATTAATTTTGTATAAAGTATTGGTAAAAAACCCAAAATACATAAAATTAATAGTTGAATTAATTGTAAGAATGTAAATAAATGAATTTTACGTTGTGGAACTTGTCGAATATAATGATTTGGTGGATAAGCAGCCTAAATAATAAACAAATAAAATAAAGAACTTGATATATACAAAAAAATTTACTTGTTCAGTAAAAAAAAGTGTAACACGTTCAAAAAATTGATTTCCATCAAGTGATGTTAATGCCAAATAAAGAAATAACCCATCTAATACTGGCATTGGAATTTGTGTTAATACACGATGCATTAATAATGACATACCAATAAATATATGAGATATTAATACTGTTAAACGTGTTTCACGTACTTTAACAATACTAGAATAAAATAGAGAAAAACGATTTAATTTAAATCTATCTTAGAAAATAATTTAATTTTCATACACTGATTGAATATGACCTTGTTCTACACGTTCTTCTGTATCAGCTAGTGCTTTAACGTGTAAAGGAGAAAGTGGTAGAGCTCCTAAACCGGAAAAAGATAATAATATCATCAATTAACTATATAAAATTTAACTAACCATGCATCCATGTTAATCCGAATAATGAAAGCCAACCATTAAGAATTGCTATAACGAATAGATCGACATGGAAAGCTTTGCCTTTTTTTAATCTATATAAATGATATAAATAGAAAAAAAAGAAATAATTAAATTGAATACAAACTTATTTGCTGGAGAATTAACAATTGCACCTGCAATATTTTGATCCTAGAAACAAAAAAACATTTTGTCTATAGAAAAAAAAATATGCCATTTAAATAACATACAAGAAACATTAATAATGATAATGAAAATCCTAAAACTCCTGTTCCAATAATTTGTTTCATATTAACGGATTTAAATTGAACCATATCGAATAAATGAAGAGAATCAACACCAAATGATGGAACTATAAAAAAATATTTTTTTAAATCTCTTAATATTTCAAATTGTTTTTATTTACGTTTTATTTGACTAAATAATATACTACCAACTAATGACATGATTATAACTGAAACTGGTAAAGCATAATCAGTTAATAATTCACGTTTAGCAGATGTTAAATATGGTGTTTGCTTAAATTTATATAGAAATGTTCCAAGCCATACAGTTCCAAGTGTTAATAAAAGATAAAGTAAACTTGAATCTCTTGAACAAGGTTCTTGAAAAACAAAACAAAATAATTTTTTTTACAATTAATTATTTTTATTATACCTTGTAAAAATTCTTCTGTTACATTTATTATTGTACTTGTATTATGTTTTCGTTTTCCCCAATATTCATCATGTTGTTTACATACAACAGTTGAATATGTGGATGAAAAATCTAAATTTCGTATATACAAAAATTAAATATAATCTTATAAGATTTTTTACTTTTATAAACATGTGAACTAGCATCAACTACAAATGCAATAGAAACAAATAAAGCAAATATTTCTTCTGTTGATCTAGAATTAAAAGAATTTATTAAATAAAATCTTAAAGTGAAAATATACCTTGTTGACCATTTCATTACTTTTGATACACCAAATATTGCGTATAATATAAGAAAAAATGAATTCCATAAACCAACTAATGCATATGTACTACGAAAATCTACTTGATACATAGCACATAACGCATAGATAACTAATTTTTCAATAGAAAATTTTATTTTAATATAAGACATTTTTTTAAAGCAATTCCTAACCTTTTACATAGAGTGTTAAAGGTGCTGTGGTCATAACAACAATTAATGGTTGACCAGCAAAGATCGAAAAAAATATTCCACCAAGACATTGAGATGCTATAGCTTTTGGTACGCCTAGAATAAAAAAACAAATGTTTCATTTTGTTTAATGGATCGAATATAAAGCTTAAGGTTCATGCAAACTTTTCTTTTTCTTAACTATCAAAACGATCATATCATGTAAACAAAAACAATCTCATACAGGAATTCCAACTATGCATTTTCTAATAGGTAGTTTCCGTATCCGTTTGTGGTTTATTTACTTATAAATAAATGCTTTTCTTTCTTTTTTTTTGTTGTTTGTGCAAGAAAACATATTTATTGTGCTTACTAATTTCATTTTTTGTTGCTTGAGAATTTAGTACACCAAAAGCAATACTTGGTAAAAGACAAGCAAAATAAAGAAATACAGCTGTTGATAGAACTTTTTGTGGACCACGATCAGTTTTAAAAACTAAATGAATTTATATTTGAACGATACAAAACAAAATTAATTTAAAATTTTTTTTACTATCATAATAATCAGAGAAATAATGTGGTAAACGTCGTGATAAATCTAGACAAATATCAGAAGGTAATGGACAATAATATATCTGATCTTTGGATGTCTAGAAAATAAGAAATAAATGAGGATAATATTTTGTATTTGTGTTTCTTCTTACTTCAGCATTCGTATTAATATCATCAAAAGGATCTGGTAGAGATGTTCGTGTTACTGCTGTTTGTTGTTCCATTAAATGATCTGTATGTTTCTATTGAATGAAGCAAAAGAAAATTAATAAAGAAATAAAATAGAAATAATTAATTTACATCAATAATAGAAATAAATTCTTGTTGTGTTGCTGCTTTTAATAATTTAGCACGTAATTCAATATCAGCAAATATTGTTGCAAATGTTCGACCAGTCTCAAGAAAATTTTTTGTACCTTTTTCTTTCATCGGTGATAGAATAAAAACAATAAAACGTGCTTCTTGACAATTACGTCCTAAATTACATGGATTTTTTAATCGAGCTATAGCAACATGTCGTTTAAGAATTGATGGTGATGTACACATAATTGCTAACCATGATTGATCATATGTCCAATTTGTTTCAGTTGCAGTTGTTGCTTGAAGAGTTTTTGCTAATATTCGGACTAAAGAAAGATAAAGAATAATAATAAATGAATCGAATATATTTTAATATACCTCTATCATTTACAAACAAAGCCTGTTTAATTTCTTCAACATTTAAATTTTCTCGATGTCCACTCATACTGCCAACCGTATTGCTTATCATTGTTGTCGTTGCATTTGATACTGACAGTGTTGGTGATGTTGTTCCACCACCATTATGTGGTATATTTGTTTGTTTTATTTGTCGTAAAATCATTTCTAATAAATCTCCTATTGATGTATCTTGTACATCAAGAAGTACAAGTGCACTAAGAATAAATTCTTTTATATCTTTTCCACCACGAATTTCTGCAGCAAAATCTTTTAATGGTATATGCTATAAAAATAAAACATTAGATTTACATTGTTTTTCAATTAATTATTAATTGCTTACTTCAGTTTTATTGTAAACAAGTTGAATATGAGCACCATCCTCTATATAAATAAAAGAAGCGTATTCATTTAAAATATAAAACAATTATTAGCATATTGTTCAATAAAATTCCTGTGAGATTTGTGAATATATATCTTTTCTCAAATTATATTATAATCTTACAATTTCTTTTTCTATAAAACTATTTTTCCTTTGAGACATCGTAACGAGTGCCTATTCATATTGAATTATCATATTTTATTTGTTCGAATTAAAATCTATAGAATTTTTTCAACTTACGTTCTAATAATGGTACATCATTTTCATGAACAAAAAAATGATGCAAATTCAAAGCATCACCTCTCATATCCATCACGGAAAAAAATAATAAAAATTTTCTGATTCAACATATTTTTTTTCTATAGAATCTTGCTTTGACGTCATAGACAATGTGGATCGACTTTCAACACTTTTGTTTCGAATAGAAGAAAAATTCCAAATATCTCTATTCATTCTTTTTTTCTATATTATTAACTAGGATACTTTTTTGTTTGCTAGTGCGTGACAAGAATATTATTCCAGTCTCAACTCACTCGGAACTAACAAATCTGCTCGAGACCATATAATGTAAAGGAAACATGCTCGAATGAGCTACTATCACCATTCCTAAGAAAAAGAAAATCAAAATCTATAGAAAAAAAACAACATAACATCTATGTGCGTGTATGTCAGATTCAAGCAACATGAGAAGATAATAATTCTATCATATCCGTATTTATATATAACAGCCAATAATTAAAAGAAATCTAATAAGTAAAAATGCTAATATTACCTCGAAGTAATTGCCACTCATGACTTTCATCATTAAATGTCCATGTTGATGTTGGTACAGGTATAAATTCTTTCGTTGGTTTACGACGAAAACTAAATCTACGTAAACTACTACCACCTGGATTACGTCGAAAATAGGAATCTGTTCGATGCATTGTGTATGTGTTTTTCTTTTTCTTTTTAGTATAAGATGTTATTCACTCAATGTTACTAATGATTGTGAAAATATAATAGTAAATGAACACGAATGAATAAGAGTTAGCTCTAGGGCCATTTTAATATGCTTCTATGTTATTCGTAACAATGTCGAACTACTAATCAAAAATATTAAGAAAAAAGAAGACACAATCAAGATAAAAAAAAAGTGAAGATGGTTGTTAGAATAAGAAGAAAGAAAGAATCAGAACTGAAAGAGAGATGAAGAAATAGATCGTTGTTTATGAGAAAACGACAGTAAGAACTCTATTATTCCTTTTCTCCATATCTATATATCTCTTTCTTTCGTCAAGAAAAAAAAATAAGAGAAGTTTACGATAAGAAATAACATCTGCCACTAAGAACAGATCTACTTCGTTAACGGAATGTGCCTGTTAGAGTTAATGATAATAATGAATATATCGATTAATAGTACATGACAATTGCATGTATGTATGCTTAAAATACGAAGTAGTCTTCGTCTTGTTAGGCTCATTACTGACTAAAGATTTGCAATTTTCTCTCAAGTATTCATCATTAATTCTTCTTCTTCTTCTTCTATATTTTTTTTTGCTTTGCTCTTGAACAAACATAATAAATATTTATATATAGACATGAACAAATGAATAGTAAATACAAATTCATCAAACGATAGGTTTTTGGATAATGTAGATAAATTATTTATGATTCAATTAGACAAATTAGCAACTCTTCTGATTTAATTTTATTAAACGTGCCAATTGAAAATCTAGTCTTCCCTTCAAACACAAAATTCTATAGATTTGAATGGCTCTTAATATATTTGCTTTTGTTGATCATTGTAACTTTGATCAATATAAATATAAAAAAGATCAAACTCTTACTTCGTGATGAAGATGATGTTGTTAATTCAGGAAAAGGTATACTCGTATTCACTATTTCAATAACTGGTAATGTTTGACAATCGTACATCTATTCTTTTGATCGTTGTGTTAGAAGAAAATGATCAAGTGAATATGATGTATACATATATATATTAGCATTTAAACAAGAAAATCGGAAGAACACGGGTGGTTAGAATATTATTGTGTGTGCTATGACTTGATAAATCATTGTTTTATACAAAAGAAACCATTCCTAGAGAAGTTCTTTCTTTTTTTTTCATTTATGATTGTTTCGGATGTGGAGATCGATTTTCTTCTGTTGTCTATTGTAAATGATTTTGTTTTAAGGCAAAATTGAGTTTTTATAAAAGTATAAAATTTAAAACACATGTTTTTTTTTATTCTAATGAAAGTGTTTTTAGATATTGTTCATTGAACCAGTAAATTATGGAATATAAAACACACTATAATATAATGTTTTTCTCCGAAGTTAAACAGTTCGTATTAATCTTTTTCATGCCATCCAATTATAATCAAAGAAAACATAATTAACGCTTTTAATATTTATTAGTAACAGTAAGAAAAATATTTTTCTCCTAGTATTCCTATTATTCATTATTTTCCAAATGAAACATGAAGCGTTAAGTATCCAGTTTATTATGTAAACAGGACGTACTGATTTTTTATATTGAATTTTTGTTTTTTTGACAAAACGTCTAAACTTGTTATTGTAGAGGATAATGCTTTAAGGCACAAATCAAAGAGTATAAAAAAATAGTTATTGATATATTCGATGGGTCTGCGATATAAAATTATTAAAAAAAAAATTTTTTATTAGAGATTAATTAATAATATATTTATATTTAGAATAATTAAAGTATTAATCTGTTTTTGATTGATTGGACTATAATATGATTATTTATTAATGAAATTTCGAATTTAATTGACAACGAGAAGAGAAAACTATCTGAGATTTGCCAAAATGTTATAGTGTAAATACGTTCTAGTTTTCATGAGCTTTTATTAACGCATAAAAACACGACAGCTTAAAAAAACATTTTTGTGCATGTAGTGGAAATAACAAGCTATCAGATTAATCCTCATAAAACCATATTTTTTTGTTTGCTAGTTGTAAAGAGCGAAACAAATCGATGAGATCATTATGTGAGATCAATGAGTGAAAAGAATGGAAAACAGAAAGATTGTATGAACGGTTTCAAATATAGTTTGATCCAAAGGTTCTATGAGAAAATGACAATTTTTAATTTCACAGCGTCTAGATTTACATGACTATTGTTGTGGAAAGGTGGTTTTTTTTTGATTACGTCAAATGTAAAGAGGAAATTTCTAATCACGAATGTATTTATCTTGTTTGCAAAGATATTCACTGGTATGTGAATACCTAATGTTTATCGTCGAAGAGTTAGATATGCAGTATATTCGTTCTTCGAAGACTTACTCAATAAATACAGTTATTACATCAGTTTTTGAATTGAAAATGTGATGTCATACAGCGCAGTGTTATTACAACTTTGCTTGAAATTTCTCAACTATTACAATTTATCCATACATCCTGAATCAAACAATACTTTTAAATCTGTAAAATGATTGACATCATATCATCTAGTGTAATAACTGTCATTGTTTCATATCATATCTCTTGATGGTCTCTTTAATTCTTAGAGAAAAAACGACTATTTAAAGCTATTAAACTTATCACTAATCTTTATTTTACGATTGATTACAATGTTTTTTTTTAAAGCGAATAACTTTTCTTACTTCATACAAAAAAGAAAAAAACACGAACATTCCTTTTTTTTGTTTAAAACGATCACATAAGTTCATAGTATTATCTTTAAAGAAAAATATAGAATTCTAACTATCTATAATAGTTATTACCAAGAAGAGAGAGAGAGAGAGAGAGAGAGAGAGAAAAAGAAAGAAGAAAAAAAAAGAACCCCATCAAAACCAGAAAATTTACAAATCCATGCAGAAAATCAAGCAAACAAATGTTACAAAAATAAATTTTCTCGTTTTCTTATGATGAATATTTCGATTTTTGTTGTTTGCCAGCTTCAAAATTAGCATGCGATGAATTTGCTTTATAGAATTTAATTGGAAACGATATATTAGGAAAAAGACTAATAACTTTTTCATCAATTATTTTTTGAGCTTCTTCACTCGGATTTGAATTCCAAATTTGTACAAGATCTTGCATACCATCACGTGATTGAACACTGATACCAACAACATCATCACTATCATCTTCCGAAAATTGTTCACCAATTGCAGCTAAACATAATTCTTGCCAAACAGTATTTGTTTTATCTTTCGGGCAACGATATGTAAATATACCACCACTAAACAAAAAAAAGACATCAATTAAATCTGAGAATTTCTCATAAAGGAGTAGTATCTTTATTCTACTGAATGAACTAGGGATATGATTTAATATTATTAGTTATCAATAAATGAGGTATGTCTTTAGCTGGTATTTTTTTGTTAAATATACATAGTCCATCTATGGCTTTTCGTATATTTATTCCGCGGTTTCTGTAATCATAACATGTACACACAACATATTATATTCACTCTGTGCATGAGTGAACAATATATGATGCATTCAGTAACGGGAATAACAGAGTGTTCACTATAGAGAGACTTATGCCTAGTGAAAATCATCCGAGTGAACTTTTAGATGCGTACTATACAGTGATGTTTATACAATAAGGTAAATCTTCAGTGAATTCCAGGTATGGCAAAATTTTTTCTAGCGTTCATTAATTTATGGTTAACTCAGGTATATTAACAAACTTATCAAAGGGAAATATTTGTTTAAGTTTTTCAGTGTTTATTCGAACTAAATACTGGAAAAATTTTTAGGTCGAAATCAGGAGAAAAACTTCGATCTACACATTTCTAGTATTGTAAATGATATACTTACTTTTCATTTTCTTGATCTTCCCAAAGTGGTTTACGATTTTTTCGCATCAAATGATAACTAACTCGATTTGGTAATCGACTTGGTGCTTAAAAATAAATTTAACGATAAACTTCTTCTTTCTTTTTTTTTCTAACTTACTTGGAATATTATTAAAAACACTCCAGAATTCTTGAACAGTTTGAACCTAAATTAATAAATAATTCATATATATATATATATAATATATTCAATATATCTAACACAAAATATTTTTTTAAGACCGGCTTCATAGTCTTCTTTTGTTGTAAATTTTGACTTTTGATTATCGAGCCAAAAAGTCCATCTACATATAGGAAGAAGAAAAATAAAAAAATAAGCCAACATTCTTTTTTTCATTTCATACTCTGTAGCAAGTGGTGCTATTTTTTCTTTATTAAGTGATAATGTATGTCGAATTTTCGCTGCTGTTTGTGGAACATAATTATCGTCATTTAATGTTTCGCTAGCTGACAAATAATCACTATCATCACCACCGTCGATCATCTAGAAAACGAAAAGAAATTGTATAGGACAGAAAAAATAAATACAAGAATGAATAATTCTTCTATTTGCCAACACTGCACAGTTCTTTTTCTTTTTCTTCATTCTTGTGTTTTTTTTTCGTTATATATATTTATGTAAAAAGTACAACACTATACTCATAAATATCGAAAGTTACGAGTGTCAACATGCCACGTGCAATGGACAATTATCTTGATTTGAAGTTTTTAGCTATTGGGGATTCAGGTGTTGGCAAAGTAAAAAATTTACTTGACGTTTTTTCAATGACACTCTTTTTTTTTGCTCCTAGACATGTATACTAAATCAATATGTTGATGGAAAATTTACTAAACAATTAGGAACTACTGTTGGTATTGATATTCGTAATAAAACTATTTTTTATACATCGAATAAAACCAACAAAATATATAATGTTCAATTACAACTATGGTAAAAAAGAATCTTAGGAAACTCATCCATATGTTAAATCTAGTTTTGTTTTCAGGGATACTGCTGGTCAAGAACGATATCGTAGTCTTACAACATCATTTTTTCGTGATGCAATGGGTTTTATGCTAGTATTTGATGTAACAAGTGAAACATCATTTCTTAATGTACGCAATTGGATAGGTGAAATTCAATCGAATGCTTATTCGGAAAATGTTGATATGATACTTATTGGTAATAAATGTGATTTAGAAGATGAACGTATTATAACAAAAATTCGTGCACTTGAATTTGCTCAACAGTATCATGTTCAATATATTGAAACAAGTGCATTAGAAAATAGGAATGTTGTTGAATCAATTGAATTATTATTAGATACAGTTATGAAACGTTTAGATGGGGATGAAAATTTTTCTAAACGAAATTCAAGTCTACCGACAAAATCATCGGAACAAATTGAACTTGATTTATTGAAGAAGAAAACAAAAACTAGAACAGATCTATCTTATTGTTGTAATTATTAGAACAAAATAATATGTGTATTTTGCTTATCTGATTATTTAATAAAGATTGAATTTGACCAATTGTTTTTTAGTGAAATCTAAAACAAAACAAAAAATCAAAAATTTCCTCATAATTATACTTGACTATTACTGGTATATGATGGACTCTAGCAAAGGGTGACGCGACCGCGGGGTCGGCGGTGTGACACCCCCAAATCTTCGAAAATTTCTATTTTTTACTCAAAAAACTCCGTTACACCCCAATCCGCGATGCTGGCTGACTCGCGCCACCTCTGACTCTAGCATATAATAATGTACTGGGAAGATTCGCCAAGGCAACTCTTAAGGAAAAAGTCAATTTCAGACTAACAAAAGACTTCTGTTTGCTATGATGATCTAGAAATATCCTCAGGAGTATCTATTTCCCTAGAATTAAGAACTTATTTACGAGTAAAAATTTATGATCTTCGGAAATAATTGATTCACTAACGAAATTTTCTCAGAATACTGTATGATACTCCAGGGGTTAGGAATCATAAGAAAAATAATTTCATTAATTGAGTTCGATCGGTGGGCAGGATTTATTCTATCTAAAAAAATGACGTTTAAAAGAAAAAAGAAAAATTTCAGATCTCAATATATTTAAATTCAATAGAATAATAATACGAAAAAAAGGATGGACAAATTATTTAAACTGTTCAAGTGAATACATACATACATACAAAAAATAGTTAAATTGTATTAACAACAAGAACGAAAAGAAAATAGAAAATGTTCATTCAACATGAACATGTTGTATTTGTGTTGGAATTCTTGTATCTGATATTTGTCGACGTGTTGTTAATACGGGACCACATGTAAATATCAAAAATATAATTGTGATTAAAATAAGAATAATTGTTGATATAGGTGTAAATAGAACACGAAATTTAATACGTAAATACCAAACGGATCCAAGAATTAATGCGATAAAAAGAATAAAATGTGATGAAATAGTAATTGGTGATGCATCAAGAAATGATGATGTATCAAATCCATGTGTAGTTGTTATTCCATCATTGATTCTATTAGGTGTTGAATGTCGTCGTGTACTTATTTGACAATGAATTATAGTTTGATCACGAATATTATATGTACGAAGTGTTTGTGGGTCTTGTAATTCACGACCTTGATATATAAATCGAACGATTTTATTACTTGCTAATTCATCAGCAAAATATAATCTAAATAAATATTATAATTATTTGTTTTGTTTTTCTCGTTTATTAGATTTACCTTTTGACTTTATATATGGTATCATTTGAATTCGCTGTAATTGATTTTTGAGTTTCATTAAGAAATTTAATTGTAATTCTTAATGATTGATCTTCTCCTTCGATGGAAGTCGATTCATTTAGATTTATAGGATTTGATTGTGTTGATATGGGTGTTTGTTCAGATAGAAATTCATCGACTTCACTTGATCTAAATTTTACACAAGATTAAAATATATTTGAATAAATACAATCATACTCAATATCAGATTCATGTTCTGTTAATGTTTCATTAGCTGATGATGGTGATGTTAGTTGTTCATTTTGTGAATTTATGCTTGGTGATGGAGCTGGACTGGCTCGTTCTGATCCTTCTCCTAAACAAATAATCATTCAATTTAATATGTATATATAGAAAACAACGTACCATTCGTTCGATGGGTTCGTCGTTCAATAATAAATAGTGTAGTAGGTAAATGAACATTATTAACATGTGTTGAAAGCCAAGCAAGACATACAATACCAATAAAAATTAAAAAAATAAATGCATACAAAAAATCATCACCAATGCCTTCAATAAATGACATTTTTTTCTATAATTTAGAAGATATAATCTAAAACCAAAAAAATCAAAATAAATTATAGATATTTTTATCTTAATAAAATAAGTAATATTTATGTTTTCATTTACGTATTAAATATTATTATAAATGGGAACAAGGGGAAATATCGACGTGTTTTTGGTATAAACTAGCAACCATTTAAAAATCATGTTTGCAATCTTTCTCCATCTATCGAACATTATTACAGATGACGTATACGAACGTTGATAGAAAAATATTATGCAATGTTAAGATTCTTATTATTTATTTTATCAAAATGATACGGATGTGTACTGCTTGGTGTCAATCATTTATTTGAAGAAAATCTTATATTATTAAACAATTTCCTATCTATTAAATGAACGTGCTTCAATCAATCTTAGCTTTTTAATTGAGATTTCTATCATAACTCCTGTCGATCTATGTTTACTGAATTACATAAGGGATTTGAATTCTTTGTATGTGGATATTGTTGTGTTAATCATGGAATTCAATGTAAATAAATTTTGCCATAAACAAAACAAAATATGATCATATTGTAATCTACACATAACAGAAAGTTTTTGTTTCAACACTTAAAGAGCGCTTTTTATAAACAACAAATAGATAAATGACTTAGACAACGACAAAAAGAGAAGAAGAAAAAAAAGAAAACTGTACAAAAAACAAACTAAACAAATTCATTTCGAATGACGATGATGTTGTTGCTGCTGTTGTTGTTGTTGTTTAGCTGCTTGTGGTATCATATCAAGTAAATATTGAGCTGGATTACCTTGACGCATTAATGAAGCAGCCATAGCTGGCAATGATGCAGCTAATGCTTGTTGTTGTTGTTGTGTTGATTTTGCTGCAAGTGCAGCAGCTTGATTAGCAACAGCAAATGGAAACATATTTGATAGAAAATGTTTTTGAAATAATTCTATTTGTTCATTCGTGGGTAAAGCAGCTAATGTTGATGCAAATGTATCAACAGGTGTTGAATGTTTTGATGAACTAGGTTTTGGATTATGATGATGACGATGATGATGATTATTTGTTTGTTTACTCGATTGATGATTTGAATTTATTTTTGTAGACAAAGGTTTACTCGAATGTTTATTATGTGACGACGATGATGATGATGATGATGGTTGTTTAATAGTTGTTGCTGGTGTTGTTATTGTTGCTGTTGATGATTGTTGTTGAAATTTAGCATCAAGTTCTTTTTCTTGTTGTAATGCTTTCATAAATGCTTGTCGTAAACGATTCGAATGATCTTGTTTAAGAATTTTCTTCTGTGATGTTTTTCTACAACGATCACAAAGGATTTTTTCATCATTATCTGTATCATTAGTCGACGGAATTTCATGCCATGTTACCGACCAATCCGTACCACATTGAGCACATACATTTGGTAAATTAAATGAAAATTCTGGTGATAAACGACGATTAAGAAAATCATTATACGTATTAAATGCTTGTTCAAGACCAATTAATGTTAAAAATTCTGACCAACCATTTATACCAGGTATATAAGTTAAATCACATGTTGTTGGTTTTGGTGTTGGAATTTGTAAGAGTGTTTGTTCAAGTTGTTTACGTAAAGCTAATTTTGCACTTAATAAATGTTGATCTGTAGTTATGCCATTATCTATAAAAACAAAAAATATATGTATAGGTCATTTAAATTTAAAATCTAATCTTCGATTTATGATTGTGAAAATCATCATTCATTCTAATAGAAATTTAGTTTCCGGTTCTCATCATCAGCATTTTTTAAATAAAATGTCAGACTAGAACACCTTCCGTTACTATTTTAGAAAGTACTTTTGATTATATTTCTAGTTCATTATGCTCTTAAAAACAACTAAAAGTTCTGTATAGAATGAAGATGTCATACTCTAAGTACTAAAATTTAGTATTTAATATTTTTCGAAATTATCTTAATGAAATCTGATTATTCTTTCTTTCATCTAATCTTTGAAATAAATAATCAGTTTAGATTATAGTCATGATAATATTTAAAATACTTTCAATTTTTAGAAAATTAAATTAAATCTGATTAGAAATTAAAAAATATATATATACTCTTAGATGAACTGGTTGTTGTTGTTGATGTTACAGCAGAATTTTTCGTCGCTGTCGCTGGTAGACGTGTAGCTACTGCTGTTGCTGCTGGTAATATACTATTATTTGACTGTCGTGTAGCTTGAGGTAATGGTACAGAAGGTTTTGATGATTGTTGCTGTGTAATATTATTATTATTATTATTATTTGCTCGATTAACTGTATATTGGTTGGGATGAGGTGGTTTGGTTGGTGTTGATCGATTCGTTAAATTCTAAAAGATAATTTAATTTGTTTTTCTTTCAAATATATATATATGTGTATGTGTACCGATGGCTGTTTGATTGGTGTAATTGAATTTGATTTTGTTGTATTAACTGGTGTTGTTGTTCGCTGTTTAATATTATTTGTTTGTGATACAATTCGTTGATTTGTTTTAAGCTTTTGCATAAGAACAAGTAAAGCTTCTTGACATTGTAATTCATATTGAAGTTGTCGATATTCTGATGTCATTTCTTGTTTACTATTACAAATTGTCATTATTTTCGATTGTTCAGATAATAAATTGGGTATTTGATCTTCATTATAATGAATTTTTCTAGAAATTTATAGTTATTGTTTATTTATTCTTGTTGTTTATTGTTTTTTTGGTGAGAATAGAGAAAAGAAGAACGAAACTAAATATTGTATATATATAACGAGTAAGCAGCGAGGTTCGATTTAATGTTCGGAAGCAATGAATGGCGGAAGGTGGGATGCAAGAAGAAAAAGAGGAAAAAAAAACAAGGATGGATAAAAATATCTATCTGTTGGAACGCGATTACTAATGTCGACGATGAAGACGACCAATTGAACGTTACCACGACAATGATTATATTCAGATAGAAAAAAAAAGGAGAAGAAAAATGGATGAATGAACGAAAGAAACAAGACAGCGGGCAAGCGGGCGCAACGCCTTTTTCTCATTGACTCACCCATTAAAAGTAGTACCACGGAATCGTTTTGTTATTGTTGTATTATTATTGTCTATAGTTGTTGCTGTTGATGATGATGATTTGCGTTTATGACCATTACTTGATATCATATTTATTTTAATCTAGAAAAAACTTAAATATTTAGAAATATATATATATTTTATATAAAATTTGACCGATACACAAAAGAGAGAATATTCAACTTATCGAATAACTAGAGAACAAAAAAAAATAAAAAGAACATTATGTGAATAATGAAGTGACAGGTGAGGAGTAAAAACTTCTCGTCTCATGCGATTCCATTCTGTGCATGCTAGTGTGTTTTGTTTACCGGCAGTGTTGGTTATGGCGGAAAGGGTTATTCATCGCTATCATGTGTCTACTCTCTCTCTCTCTCTGTTTGTTGCTCGACGAACACGACTTACCCTTGTATTCTAGTTTTTTTTTCCATTCTCTTATTTTTTTTTGTTGGTAAGAAGGGTTGATGTTTTATCGTCATTATTGTTATTCAGCATATTATAAAATCTCATTTTAACAAAATACTTGTGCAATGACAGATCTTTCAATCATTCATTCATTTACAATTATTTTGAAAGAAAAAAAAAAGGCAAATTTTAAACTTTTCATTCATAGCAAATGTATAATGAACAATAACGAGAAAAGTTCAATGTTCAGATTGTCTCTAGCTCAACTAAAGATATATAACGAATGTAATCATCATTCATCGAACTAGTGAAGACAGACATGGACGCTCGTAATAAAGAAGAAAAAAAAAAAGAAGGAAAAAGAGACGTCGACACACATTACGATAGAGAAAGAACTATACATTTATGCTTTAACTAACCTTCCCCAAACAACATACACATTATAACAGCGAGTCAAGCATATTCTATTTTTCATCTCCCTCTATTCTTCTTTGCCATTTTTTTTTGGCTGAGAATGTCATTAAGAGTAGGCAGTTATATAGCGTTCTATTTGTAAACAAATAAACAAGTCATCATTCTATTCTACTTTTCCCTTTTTATTTTTATATCGATAACAATAGTGATGGTTTTATATTGATATCACATACTTGTTATATTTCTGGTTTCTTTCTTCATTAAAAAACGAGAACATATAAGCGCATTAAGAAAAAAAAAAAAGAAGAAATAAAAAAATCAACAACTATACTTTGTGTCGTTTTGCATCTTTATTTTTCTCTTTTTTCTCTCTTCTCTCATTTTTCAATGACAAAACGAATATGAACACATTGCCCATAAGAACGAGCAAGCGCAATTGTGCAAATAGACGACTGCAGACACTCGCACAACCGCTCTCTCACGCACGCATACAACATATGAAAATCATGCAAAGAGATGAGGATGGGACGAGAAAAAAATGTGAAAATCGCAAGTCGACTCGAAGAACAGGACACATTAGTTGAGAAAGAGAAGAGAGAGAAAGACAATGCTACTACAAATACACTAAATATGGAGCAATGTAAGACACAGAATGGATGAATATCTTTTGATCAGTTTGATCAACATGACTGTTTTTATAGAAGAATACTATCTTAAACAAATAATGAATATATATATATATAAAGCATATATTTAGTATAATTTAAACTTTAATAAAGAATTATTTTTATCGATAAAAAATATTACTACACATTTTATGATAGCTACTCAAATGATATATATATCTAAAGACGTAATATCTAGATTGTGTTAATAAATAAAATAAAAATCGAAGATTTTATGTGAATTATCAGTTTTAATTAAATCTATTCACTAATCAAATTATGTCTAGAATATAGACTTGATAAATACGCAATTTCTAGGGTATTAGATATCACTTAGAAAAACGAAGTAAAGACATCGTTAGTTATATATAAATACATCCTTTTTTTTCTTAATGATTATCCTTCATAATAATAATAATAATATAAACATTATTTATTCTATAAAATTTATCTTTTTCAAAGGTAATCAAGATTACTAATAAAAAAAAGTCTTTCCGGATGTTGATTTTAAGAACGTTAGAAAAGTATTCAGATTCATATAAAATAAATACAAAGGTTAGAATGATTAATGAAAGGCCGAGGTCATCTATTTCTATATATACTTATCGATCTATATATACATATGATTGTTCATTGTATATCAACAAATGATTTATACTATACATATGTATACAGAACAGTATTATTCAGTTGTAGTCAGAATAAAAACAACAACACAACAAGAGTAGTGACGACGGTGCTTCTGTTGTTGACGACGAATGCCAAACAAGTCAGACATATAAAAAAAATGAGAAGGAAAAGAAAAGCTCACATATTCCTGTAAAATGTTCTGTGTGCTAACCCTTCTTTTACTCTAAACATCGTTCTGCCATATTCACGGATATTTTTTTTTCTGTACTCACTGAAGTCTATTCACAAGAGACAAACAAAAAAAAAGAAAATGGAAAGAGAACAACGAACTATACTTTTCTTGAAGAAACATTATATTTATATCAATTATATAAAGAATATCTATGTATATTGACTGTAATCACTAGACGATTTGCGTATTCAAATGTTTTTTTTTGGCTTTTTATTATGAATTTAATAACGAACATGTACAAAAATATATAAAATCAATGTCTCTATTTTTTTACTGGTGATTTTTTAAGGAATTTTTGTTTTTTTTCATTCATTTCAACAATCGTATCATTAGTTTGTTGCATTTTTTGTATAATTGCCATACGTTTATCATAAATTTCTGAAGTTTGATCATATGAATACGTGTCAGAAGTTATATTCGTATTTATACGAAGTTTATTAATACGATCGAGTAATGTTGAAGTAGAAGAAGAAGTTAAAAGTTTTTTCTTTATTGATATGTCACGTTCATTTTGTTGATCTTCATCGGATGATGAAATGATATTTGAGAAGAAACCATCATTCTATGAAATAAGAGAAGAAAGATTAAACATGATATACATCAAGCTTTGTTCTTTTTTTGTGTATTTATATAATAATAATTTACATTATCGAATATGAAACTTTCAACAAAACGAGTCATGATCGTTTTGCTGTGAGAATCTTTTTATTAAAAGTAACTGAGATTATTATCAGGTTATTATTCATAGATTGATTCTGTGTAAAAAAAGACTAACATGTTAGTCTTACATAAGATAATAATTCTTACAAATCACTTTCTTCTTTTAGGTATAATTAAATAATCCTACAAGGAAATCTAACGTAAGGATATATGAAGTGATTCTGGCTCATTATTTTTTATCATACATGAAACTATATATTATTATGATTCTATCTCAACTAATGATCTATATAAACATCGATTTTGTTACGTGATCTCGATAAAAAGTGTTGCTTTGAGATAGAATATCAGTTCTACATTTAAATATGTAAAACATAGATCCGAGTTTAAATTCCCGGAATAATATTACTCAGGTCGAAAAATCTTACAAGAATCTGACAAAAAAACGTGGTTCCTTAAATCTTGTATCAAGTTTCTCTTAAAATATCTGACGTGCATTGTATTTTCTCAGTAATAATTTTAAGTGAGATTTTGAAAAAAATATTATTTTTAGTAGAATATTATGGTAGCATTGTATTGCACAAGAATCTTATAACAGTTCTTATAGTACGAACTAGTGCAAGATATCAAGAACCACGATTTTTTGTATGATCCTTGTCTGACTTCATCCGATCAGAGATACGATTCTTACAAGATCTTGCTATCTGATTGCTCGACCTGGGTTGCTTAACTTTAACACTAGAAAAATCTTTGCAGTAAAATCAAGGTCATAAATATAGAATTCTTACATCTCTTTTCATATAAATATCGGATGGACGTTTTTGTGATACAAGATTACTTTCTTCAGCTAATATTTGATAATCAACTGGTTCTTCATCATCATCTTTTACTAAATCAGGTTTATTATTAATGCCTATATCTCTTTGAATAATATGATCACGAACAAGTTTTTCACGTTCTTCTTCATCTTTAATACCAAATAATGTTGTTGGTGGACGTGGTCGAACTCGCATACGACGTCTTGTTCGTTGTTGTAGAATCAGTCGTACATTATCAACAGATTGATTAAAACTTTCAGCAAGTATTTCTGCTGTCCAACGTTCTAAAAAGAAGACAAATCAGATATTATTCTAATGAAATAATTCAATGACATACTTGGATAGTTTTTATGTAAAAATTGCATATGATTTTTAACATATGGATCTACTTTAATATCATTAGGATGAACAACATATTTCCGTTTTAGAATATGATATCGAACTGTATTTTGTCGTTTACGTTGTTGGCTAAAGATAAGAAAATATTGTCATATGTTTCTCAGCATGATTAAGTAAGTTTTAAAATACAGATAAATCGTTGGAGGTAAAGTAAGATTTTTGAAGGAAATTATTCTTGCTGTTATGTCTGTAAAATATAAAGAATTTTTCCAACGCAGATAAAAGCTTTTTTTGATAGATGTTCAAAACAGAACTCAGATAGAAATAATGGAATAAAATATATTTTTAGAATTTTGAAAAATATAAGTTGACATTTTTAATATGAGTTATCCTGTTCCTGACTGAATGAAGGTAGTCTACATGAACATTTTTTGTTCCAGCAAAAAAAGTAATAGGTAATACTTGGAATTGGTATTAAAAATACATCAAGAGATTTATTTTGCTATTTTAAAAAATTCTTTTTGATAAATATTTTCTGTTTACTCTATTTCATAATTAATTTGTAATGATTTATTTTTAGTTGTTTGTATAGCCAAATTTTCCAATTGACTTTCAATTTCAGGTCGATAAATATTTGCATAATTATCGAGAATAGTTGATTGACGTTGACCATTCCTGACATATCGTTTATTTGATATTATAGAATTTAAAGATATTTTAAATAATTTCTGATATAAATTTGAAAAGAACATTCTTTCTGAAAATAAAATTAGATTTTATTTTAAATTCAATTTATATATATATATATATACGGATACATTTAGATCTTTTGAATTTCTAATACATAAAACAAAACGACACACACACACAATAACAACAATGAGATTATTGTAAAGAAAATAGAATTAGATTTATATATATATATATGCCAGATTTATATACAAAATTAGTCAATGAATTGATTCATTGAATGGTTTCAATTGATACCAATGAGCTATTTGTTTTGTTATTTGTCGATGACATACGTCATTCCAATGTTGATTCATTTCTTTTCCAATAGAAAATATTCCAATTGTATCATGTTTCATATGACGATCATAATCAAAAAGTATTATATCAAAATGAATATTTTTTATTTCATTATTTGGTATATTAAATGTAAAACATTCATTATAAACTGGAGATTGTGTTGTTCGTTTAATAGTACTTCGTTTTTTAACAATACGTTGATTTTTATAAAACATATAAATTTTAAAATATGGATCTAAATTGAAGAGAAAAAAAGAAGAAAAATGAGAAAATGGAAGAGATCGTATTTACTTATTAATCTTGTTGTTCCTATTCGTGGTAAATTTGATGCTTTTAAGACAATAATTGTTAAAGTACTATCGCCTGGTTGATAACATATAGAAAGAAGCATTTGTCCAAGTTGTTGATTGTGTAGCTAAAATAGAAACATTTATAATATGGTACTATCAAGGATATTTTATTCTCATAGGAGTAAGTAAAGTTATTAAATAATATTAAAAAAAAAGAATTCTTTTTTTTTCTTTTACTTGTTTATGTCGAGCTGTCAGATTTTGTGTAAATGTCATTTCAGTGGAATCGAGTGTATTAAATTGTAATGGATAATTAACTTCACCAACAATTTCATCTCGTGTAAATGTATCATACGTGGAAATTGTAAAGCGAAGAGAATAATTGTCATTTAAAATTTGTTCAAGGTTAGAAAATTCAAATAATTCATCATAAATAGGGTATGCATTCTTTTTAATAATATGTGTGCGCATTGATGGCAAGCTTTCTTTAATAAGGAATATATAATATAATATTAATATATGATTTATAATGAGAAAAAAAATTCTACCTGAGGTGTTATTTTCTGTTGATGTCGAGACAAGTTCAATACGAACATATGAATCAATAATTAATGGTTGTCGATTCTGTCGATAAATAAATAGTTCTCGAGCACTAATAACACGTACATATAATGTTTTCGTTGTTTCATTCCATCGAAGGCTAAATGTTAATGAAGCTGGTTCAGCAATATGTTCGATTGTTGATGAATTTGACAATGATGATGAAGATATTGATGATGAAGATTCTGGTTGTTCCTGATCTTGTCTATGTAACATACTTGTATCAGGCCATGAAAATGAACTTTTAATAATACGTGATGTTTCATTAATAACATCTGTTGATTGCTTATTATTATTTAGAGTTGGTGATGGGGTAAAACTATCACATGATGTTGATTTTAGTTGATTACGAAAGTATCTTGTAACACTATATGATGAATCATTTACTTGTTTTTTACGTCGAGTATAATATTTAGAGATTGCTAATCCAACAATAAATATAGCAATCGTCATAGATGAGATAATTGTAACAACCATTATAGATGGAAATGATTTTCCTAACATAGTAAATAAGATTAATGGATAATATATACTAATACACAAATGTAAAGTAGATAGTACAAAGATAAATTCTCAAAGAAAGTAGAATATTCCTCATATGCTAGTCCCTTGATACATTAACTCGTTTTTTTTTTGTGGTTCGACAAAAAACAAAGTCATTATAGAAAAATCTTTTCATGATTTTTCTTTAAACGGGGAAAAAAAGAATTTATTTTCTATTCTTTTAATCGGATTTTATACGTACCGACTTTATTTGTTGATTGTTTCAACATTTCAACATTTTCTTCTTCATTGTATTTCTCATTAAGCCTTCGAACATACCGTTGTAGTTCATCGTTTTCCATTGATTAGTTTGAATCCACAATAAAATATATTTTTTATAACTTGTACTTTCTCTCTAACATCAATTCAGGAAAAAATAACGTATGAGTTTTTGTTGATGTTAGATGGCTTTACATTTCTTCCTCTGGTAAACGTCGAGTAAAGGAAAAATTAAAGGAGTCTCACTCTCTCTCTCTCTCTCGTCCTCGGGAGAGTATTTCTATGTTTCTGCTAAACTTCTCTGTCAAAAAAAGAAAGGAAAAGGAAAAAAAAAGAATGAATCTAGTTCTATTCCTGCAATTGATGACAAGCCATCAGGATAAGAAAAAGAAAACAGGAAGTTTCTTTTCCTATTCACCAACGAAATAAACCCGACAATGCGTGAAGTTAATGTAATTAATTGTCTTTTTTTCTTTCTAAGAGATATTCAACATAATTAGGTCAAAAAAATGATTCGTTTATTTCTTCTCACTCACAATACACACACAAACAGACATCTTGTCAATGAAGAGCAAAAAAACACATGAATTGATGATTGCACATATATCTATATATGCATATCACATTTGTTTCCGTGCACACGAGATTGACATATAATTATCGAGCATGCATAAGTGGAAATTTTGTAGAGAAAAAAGAAAAGCAGCGATACAAATAAAGAAAAACTCATCACATTTATTTTAGTCATATCTGAGAGCAAAAAGAAAAAACAAAAATGCGACAAGAGACATAACTACTACAACAAGAGAAGAAGAAGAAGAAAAAGAAAAACTAAATGCAAAACTCGAACAATACCATTAAATGTGGGCTTATAGAAAAATTAGACACAGGTTCTTTTTATGTTCCTGAGATTTTTTACAAGAACAATTTAAACCGGTTGTCGGAAGACAAACAAACAAACAAGAAGAAGAAGAGAAAAAAACGAAAAATAGAGGAATGTAACGAAAACATGTATTGATCATTCAGCTAAATATGTATATATTATATGTGTTGCACTGACAAACACTATCATTCGACAGACACAAAACGGAGAGAATCTTGAATGTATTATATACAATAACACAAGAACAATATTGATTTTAATCACTTTCGGAGACAACGAGCGACTTCAGAGCGATTTAAACGAAATTGTGTCCAACAACGTGGACCACTAAAGAGGAAAGCATCATTTGTTACATTGGCTAATGGTTCACAAATTTTAGCTGTTAAATGTGGGTCTGTACGGCCTAAGAATAAGAGTAATTTATGATATATTTTATATTTAAAACATAGAAGACTTACTACGATTACGTTGAGATTTTTCTGTCATATTAATATTATGATTATTGGATTGAGGATTCCTCATTGCAGGAGTTAATTCATCAGGTTGGCCTCTCGGTAATATACGATATTGAATTTGACGAGTAGAAGAAGCCGATTTACTTCCTATTTGATTTTTAGAAGATAATGGATGTTTATTTTCATCATCATTTGACATTGGTGGTGTCAGTTGGTTTATATCTATGAAAAGAATTTATTTATTTTTTATGATAACGAAAATTTTCTTATTATTATAATTTATGTCTATTCATGCAATAAAAACATTAATCAAATAAATTATTATCCATCTTGTCTGGAATAAAAAAAGACTTTTTTCTTTTTATAACTCAGAAGTTTTTTCTATATTTTTTAAAAACTATCATCTACTTGTTAGCATTCGTCTTTGATTTTCTAAGCTAATTACACATGAGAATTGTAATTATATCAGTATATTAATAGTAAATTATCGGTATTTCATCAAAAAGGAAAAGGAAAGATGTATAAGAAAATAAGCATTCATGGTATATGGAAATTTCAAATTAATGTTTTTTCATTCGATTGTACTCAAACGAATGTCATAGTTCTATTTAGAGACACAACAGTGATGATAATCATAGTTCAGCAGTATCCGTTCTAACAGTAAACATTTTATAATCTACAGTGAAGAGTACTGTTTGATGCCATTAATCACTGTTACTTTAAGGATGTCTAAGCTAAAAAGTACATCAACTCCCATCGTAGGTTTCAAGCAATTTATCAACTCCATCAGAAGATCGATAAATGACTGTCACTGTTGCATCCGTAGCTCTGTTAAATATTCATAGACTTATTACGATCTATTTACAATAGAAGGAAAACAACAACAGTATAATTCATATGTTTGGTAAACATGCTAGCAATTTACAAAAACAAGTAAGAAAACAGCACATCTATATCCTCTAGAATTCATCATAGTCAAATAACTAAAAATGATCTATTTGTCATAAAAGGAAATTCTTTTATTTCTTTCTCTTTCACCATTATCAATGGAAAAAAAAACTTGTAAGTCTCATAAACTTTTAAAGTAATTTATCGAATATCAGATAATAAATTATCATAGTCTAGACACTTACGTAATGGATTAACAGCCATTGGTTTATTTTCTCTCATTAGTAATGTTTCTGTCATTGTTGTATTATCCGTTACAGTAATAGAAGCATTTTTAAGTATTTCAGAAAAATGTCTTTGAATTGTATCTTGTACACTTAGTTGTTTTTGAATTTTATTTGATGGCATCGTTAATAATTGTTGTTCATCGGAATTTTCGGTTGTAAGATTAGCAATAATTTTACTTGAATTTTTACGCCGTCCATTTATAGATGTACCATCACGAACTTTATTAACAGAAAAACAAATCATATTTAAATATTAATTTATTTTCTTAAAAAAAGTTCAAATATTTGTCACTCAGTACTTCTTAGCATAATATCCTCTCATGGTATATCGAGAGATAATTAATTTATCATCATAGTGACATATCATTAACTTACTATATGACGATGTTTGTTGATCAACACCGAATAAATTTTGTTGAATATTTAATGAACGTGTATTACCAGGATATGTTGTTTTTCGTCGTCTTGGCTGTTGTTGTTGTTGTTGTTGATAATATTGATTATGACGTCCATTTCCTTTGTCATTAGCATTATCCGAATCACCATTTGATGATGTATATATTCCACGTTCTTGATTTATCCAACGACGAATATCTCTATAAGATAGATTCGAACCATAGTACATTGAAATATATACATGTTAAACAATTCAATTGAATAAACGTGTTATCTTACTTGATAAATGGTATAACCATAAAAAATGCTTTTGCATTAAGATTTAATTTAATTTGAGGTGTTGTATCATGTCGATGACATGGTAAATCATCTATTGGAAACCAACGCATTTCCTAAATAAACATAAAAATATCATAATCTCGATTTCGACTGTTATTGTCAACTCCACGCCTTTTGCTCTCAAGCTAAAATAATGATAAAAGCTTTGTTTAATTAATATTTAAAATTTAATTTGTTTTTAATTGTCATTATTTTAGAGTAGTTCAATTTTATAAATAAATGTACTTAAAACTAATATTATTCGGACAAGAATGTAAACATAACTGCGTAATCATAATTTCTATTTCATGACATTTTATCAGGCATCAAAAGTTGTCATAATTTAAAAAAAACTACTTTTATTAAATATTACTATGCACTCGAGTACGGAGGCTTTTCAAATAAATATGAATACATTAAAACGGAAATTATTATTAAATCGTTTTTTTTAGAAATTCTTGTCTGGTCGAAATATCTCAGTAGTTCCGACACAACTTGAAGCAACTAATTAGATATGTTCTAATAATATATACACAGACCGAATATTATATAAAATGCTTATCAAGTCAAAAGTCAGTTAGTAGAATTAATTGATTTCTTATTCTAAATGTTTAGTTCAAAAAAGAAATATATCGGCGTGACGGAATCACGTTTTCTCCTCATGCGATTTCTATAACTCTGTCATATGGAAACCAATAAGTCTCCATACAGTCTATGTGAGCTTTTCTTAAGTTTACCAAAGCTGTTTGTGTTTTGCGATCAAAAATATAACTCGTTGCGGAATCATACAAAACGGAACGACATGTTTAACCGATAGCACAAAAGCGCAAAATTCTGTTTAACAGTAGGGATAAAAAAAACACGATTTGTAGCAAATTGATAGACTAGATGAGACAGTATCTAAAAAAAGGAAACCTGCCTTTGCGCCGCAGAAATATATGTCATGATGGAATCACGTTTTCGCATGTCTATTTCTCCACTATAAACAATCATTTCAGACACATGTGTGTTCACTGTGAGACTTTTGCTGAAAATCCGGACTATATGTGTCATCAGCTTCAGGAGATAAATATATTTTTCTCTAAAAAATTCGCCCATAGAGGTACGATTTTATGTGGACAAGCCGATAAAATATTTTTTTATTTCATACTTTAATTTCATTTTTTGTTTTCGGCGCAAATTTTGTATCAAGTGGTACTTGTTTAACAATATATAAACGAATAAGTTGACCATTTAAATCACGTTCTAAAAATTGATCTTCAAAAGCTCGATCTTTCATATCAAAACCAACTTCTTCTAAAACCTAAGATAAAATTAATGAAAAAAAAGCAATTCTAAATAAAATAAAAATTTTTTCTCCTACTTCTCGTATAGCACATTTTAATGGGCTTTCATTTTCTTGCACTTTTCCTTTTGGAAAACCCCAACTTTCACGATTATAAAATCCACGTACAAGTAAAACATGTTCATATGTTGGATCGATTAAAACTGCACCATATGTTGGTACACTTAATTTATAGCCACGCCAATGAGATAAAATTCCATCGAGATTATTAACGTAATCACGAAGAAATGGACAATGTTGAAAAACTAGAATTAATAAATCAAAAGTTCCATCTATCAATTTATTTATTCAATATTTATTTCTACTTTGTTGAGCAAAATCCTTAATATTACATATTTGTAAATCAACATCATCTTCACAATAAAAATCAATATAAAACCAATGAGCTAATTCAACAGCAAATAATACTCGAACAAGATCATCACGTTGTTCAGCTGGTATATTAATTATAAAACGACTAGGAAATACAAAAAAAATGTTATATATTAATGAAATAATTTCGAAATATTTTACCTGCATAAATCGTCTAATACTTTTGTTGGGATTTGTTGTGGTTCCGATGACATAATAATTGAGACACGAAAAAAAAACAAAAAACCAAGGGAAAGTTGGAATACAAAAAAAAAGAAGAAGAGAAAAGGACTTGGGAATTAAATTCGTTTTCTTTTATTTTACATCGAAATTGACAGACACATTTTCATATGATCATGTTCCTCTCCATTCATATTGGATCAAAATATAAACATGTTGGTAAACTATGGATGATAATCATGCAACAATCTAATGTTTATTTATTTTTTAATTTAAATATTAGTAACAAAAAAAAATATTTTTTAAATGCCTTTAAAAGGTATTCCTCAATTAATTTCACCTGAATTACTCTATGCATTGGCATCGATGGGTCATGGAGATGAAATCGTATTAGCTGATTCGAATTTTCCATCAGAATCAATAGCACGAGCAAATGGCGCTCGTTTAATTTCTTGTGATGGTTTACCAATCCCTAGATTACTTCGACAAATTTTAAAATTATTTCCATTAGATCAATATGTGACTGAACCAGTTGCATTAATGGATCTTGTTGATAATGATAAAAAAAAAGGTTTAGATGTTCCTATATGGAATGAATATAAACAAATTGTTGGAAATAATGTTCAATTTGAAATGGTTGAACGTTTTCAATTCTATGAACGAGCAAAAAAATGTTTCGCTGTTGTTCGTAAGTATAATCTAATAGAAATGCTTCTCTCGCACTGTTTATATCTATTTTAGGTACAGGTGAAAGTGCAATTTATGCAAATATTATTTTAAAAAAAGGTGTTGTTACTAAAAATCCATCGAAAAAAGAAAATGAAGATGATGCGGAATAAACAACATACATATATATGATAGAGTTTGCTTGATTTGATATTGTGATTCTTTTTTAATTGATTATGCATAAAAATTGTTAGCGATAAAAAGAAAATATTTCTTGTTTTAGATAAAATTTTAATAAATAAATAAATAGATATATGATATTCAATCAAAATTTCTTTTTTATACAAATAAAAAATGAATAATTTGTAAGCGAATGATTTTGTTACAATTGAGAATCTAATAGAAATTTCTTTAGATCGTCATCTGTGCATAGACTCTTATTAAATTTTAAATCAATTGTTGAATTAGTAGTTAATTTTCCAGGTGATTCATTAACATCACAATATGGTGCAATAGAACGAATTCGATTCGCTATTTTATCAATTCTAACTCATGGTCTTAAACAGGTGTGTTCTTATAGAAAAAAAAACATTTCAGCCTGAATAGTCATGCCGGAATGATATCATCTAACGAGAGAAGGTCCCCAGGTGTGAGTCCTAGTTTGTAGAGCTCGATAAGCTGAGTCTTGTGGTATACTTTGTTTTTCTGCATGGAGCTTTAGATGAGAGAAATCAATCGATCCTAATACATAAAAGAGGATTTAATAGGCGTATTACAAATTTGATATTTTGAATATATGACAATCTACTCCTTTTTATTGTGTTACGAATAAAAAAATATTATTTCGGTTATTGATTCGATCCGGCGCTTGCACTATTACATTAGAATATAATGCTATCAAACAAATGCGTACTAAAAAGACGCATTTTTGTTTTACCGTTTTGAATTGAACATGTTTACTTCGTATCTATTCGTTATTTCTAGTTCTATACTTATTATGTCATCCATCATATATAAATTATGCTAAAATTTCTCTTTGGAGACCTATGGAGAAAAACAAAATATACCACAAGACTCAGCTCTACAAACTAGGACTCACACTTGGGGATCTTCCCTCCTAAGGTATAAAGAACATTTCAAAAAAAGAGATACACGGATTATTTTTATTCATTGTACAACAAAGTCTATATGTAGGAATTCTTATTAAATGTTTGCAATCTTCTAGACACATATATATTAAATATTATTTATTGTGTAAACATTAATCATGTAAAATAAAAAGCTTCTGGTACAGGAAAATATTTGTTTTAACAAATAATAAGAATTTTATCTCGCCCACATTCTATTAATATTAGATTGTTCAGTGATGCGAATACAAAGACATTTTACATATTGTCTTTTAAAAATTTAATATATGTATATTTTATTAATTTTTAAATATAGACAAAATCCTTAATACACCTCAAGATATGGTTATATATATGAATTAAAGAGACACAGGGTAAATGGAACAGAGTAGAGCATTATTAATTTTAATATTAATATCCTAGATATATATGATTTGAATAGGCTAATTATTACTAAAATAATACTTTTTATTCTTATAATTGAAATGAATTTTAAATAAGAATATTTGTTTTCCGTCTTTAGAATAATACATCAGATATATATGAACAATTATGGCAATTAATTATTCGTTTAAATGCAAATTCACATAAACATATTCATTTGTTACAAGATATATTTCATAAAGAAAATCTTCGATTAACTGTTGAGCAATGGATTGATCAATCAGTTATAACTCAATGTTTATCTCAACAATTATCATGTATTGAAAATGATATGGATTTACTTGAACAGTATTATTATAGTAAGAATTGAATTGATATTCGACTTTTCTTTTTCTTTTTTTTATTATTCTCTGCTGATTGGGAATAGACATTCATATGATGATATTTTTAGGAATTTAAACAAATAAACGACTAACGTCGACGGCCAATATAAGGTCGCATATTTTTTGTAAAATGATGTCTTCGATCAGGAACAAAAATAAGATATTCGCCCTTACGATATACAAAATAACCAGTACCACGTTGATTACGTTCTAACCAAGCATTATTGTTGTTGTTCATAGAATTTTCAGTTGAAATAATCCGACGCCAATCTTTATTATAATTGTTATTATTATTATTGATAGATAAGGAGGATGCATTTGTAATTGATATTAAAGAACAGCAGATGAATAAAAAGGATAATAGGAAAGGTAGAACATAAATTGTCGACGATGATGTATTGTTCATTGTTGTATTAAAGTAGAAGAAGAAGAGCATTGATCGATATTAATTACTCTCCTTCTTCGATTGTATTAATTATTGTAATATAAATTATTTGGCGTTTTCTTCTTAATATTCTATTAAAAATACAAAAAACATCTAAAGAATCAAATACGTTTTTTGTGTATCACATTAAACTCTTAATTATATGAATTCTTTCCAGAGAAAAAGAACTTCAACTATATATATTTCTAAGTATTTATTTCAATCTTGAAAATAATTGTAGACTAAGACTTTGAGTACTGTATATTTTATAGTAGATTGAAGTACATAAAAAGTATTTCCTATTTGTCTTTTTCTTCTTCTTCTTCTTCTTCTTTCCTATCAATCAATGTCAATAAGAAGATTTGCTGAACGCCTCTACTATTTGTTCTTTGTTAAATATACATATGTACGTTATAATCAAAAAGGAAAAAACCAAGTTAGTTTAATGTTGGAAATTTTTATCAAAGAAAAATACGCGTAAATTAGTTTATATATACACTTACAATATTAATGACGATGACGATGATGATGATGAGGCTAAGATTCAAAATACCGCAAAAATCGTTAAGTGTCGCATGAAGCAGAACAATCTTGAAAATGTAGCAGAAATGAAAGAAGATTTATCTATGTTATGTTAGAAGAAGAAGAAAAAAGGAGAATTTGTATTTGTTGCTAGAATAAAAATCTACATAAATAAAAATCTGACAGAATATTTTTCTCTTGTCATTAACGCATCAAAAGTACTACTGTAAATGCGTAGGATGAGAGAGAAGAAAATATGATGACGATAATGTAATGTCAATGATGACTGCGTGATTTCAACAATTGAATAGAAAAGATGTTGATGATTGATAAATGTATGTGATAGATGAGAAAATGAGTTATACGAGAAAATAATGTAGTTGAGTGTCGGATGTTAATAGTAAAATATAAGGAGTAAGTGTAGTAGAATTGATTATTTGTAATCGGAAATAATAAAGAAATCAATGTGATCGTAATGTAATTCAGATAATAAAAAACGGAAAAACTTGTTTTTGATCGGTTATTATTTTTTCAACCTCATTAATAATATCTTTTTAATTTATCAATGATATTTTGTTATTACACTCTATTAAACAAAATCAATGACAGAAAAAAACTATTATCAAAATGACTGAACATTATACTTTATCTAGACGTGCTTTTTACTAACGAATTTTCTCTTCTCTTTTTTGCTTTCAATTTTTTCTCCTCATTTATTTAATTACTTGTGCTATATAACTCAGCATGCAGTTAATCATATGATATTTTAATTTAACTAATATTGATTCTACATTTTTTGCAGGCCATGCTTTCATACGTATACTACCTTACTATCAGGCATTTGTGATTTGTATACGTACGGTAGAATCGAGTGATCCATCATTACTTATTAATATTGATCCAAAATTGGTAAATAATTAAATAAAAATGAAAATTTTCATTATCATTATTTTTAATCATATAGTCTCTTATTGAATATATTCATGAAATAATTCCAGTTATAACCAATGATGACATATGCAGATCATTTGCATCTACAAATCTAAATAATAATAATGAAAATATTTATAAACCGAAATTATTTTTCGACGATAGTCAAGAAAAATTTTGTAAGTCCAAATAATATTTTTTTATTAAACTAAAAAAAGGAAATTTTTCGGTTAGTTCCACTTGCTAAACATCGTATTCTTCATCGTCGTATTCATAGTGATCCGATTACTCATATTAAAAAATCATCATCAGTTTTAATTCCGGATAATTCACCTAATGTTTCATATACAAACGAAGATGGATCAAGTGATGATTCATATATAGATTATTTCTTATCTACTGAACAATCTTTACCATTAGAACATAAACGTCCTTCAATATCAAGTAAACTAACACTTATCGATGTTGAAGAAAATCAATTTTATCAATCAACATCGAATACAACAAATTACGATGCAATAAAAAGTAAATTATTATTATCTATTTGTCGCGTAATTCGATTTTTATTAAATTCTTAGCGGGACATTTACCACAATCATCATTATTTTGGCCACGAAAAAATCAAACGTTAGATAATTATATACATGAATGTGATTCACAAACTCGAACTGATGTTGAAAAAGTTAATAAATATTCAAATAGATTTATTTTTATACTCTTTTTTTCAGGAAAATGCACATTTTTATTTCAGTGAAGCAATTATATCAGCTATGGAATATATTAAATTTAGTGATAAATGTAAAAAATATTTTGATACATCCGATGAAAATTTTCTTACATTGACTCAATTTAATATGTCTACTTCTGATCCAAAGTAATTTAATTGAAATAAAATTTCTTCTTTTTCTCTATTGAATGTATTTAGTTCACAAGATTTATCAGCTGAAACATTAGGTATTCTAATAAAAATTTTATGTTTATTTAATTAATTCTAATTAATAATTTAGCATTAGCTGTAATGAAACCATGGAAAAATTATAAAATACCAACAGCGTTAGATTTATTTTGGATGATTCCATATGAAGAAGAAATATCCGAAGAGGTAAAAGATTAGAAGATAAAAAAAATAATTAATATTGAATATTTTAATTACTAAGATAACATCATCTCAAGATAATAGAGGAATGGAACAAAGTTCTGATTATTCTTCGTCTATAGATATGAGTCAACGAGTAAGAAAAACAAAATTTGATTTTAGAGATAAGAATGCAAAAAAAATTCTTTATTCAAGGTATTACGTCGTGGTAATAGTAATTGGGCACCACCACGTGAACAACTTATCTTTCATATTCATCAATCAGTAAAGTAAGTATATTAATTAATGCACTATGGTTGTAATAGAAAACATGAGGATATGTATTAGTGGCGTAATCAAGATATGACGGCATCCTAAGGATTTTTCCAAAGAGTATTTTGAGAGTGTGGATGTGGGTATTATTTTCTTCAGAGACCACATCTGCACCCGCGCCCACACCCTCAGGATGGTGGTTGGGCGGCACCCAATCATGCCCGCCCTTGGTTACGCCACTAGTGTGTATATGCAAACTTTAATGAGTAATTGACTTTACGTGATTAAGAAGTAAACATAATTTAAGACGATGAAGTCAACTTGACAACAAATAATATTAAGTGAGTAGTTGACTATTATATTTCAACCGTAGCTGGTCCTTAATCTTATGTGTGTAGATTTTAGTGGATCATAATATGATATGAAAGATTGTTTAAATTGAATTTTATATCTAGTCGTGATAGTCAATTAAAAAAACAAGGTTATCTATGTGCTGGTTGTGGCCGTGGTGTTGAAAAAGGTTATGCTCATCGATTTCGATATTGTGAATATACAGGTTAAAACAGCAAACAAATTTCTTTTATAAAATATCAAATTTTTTATTTATTAGGCAAATATTTTTGTCGTAGTTGTCATTGTGATAAAAGATTTTATTTACCATCATTTATAATAACAAAATGGGAATTTTCAAATAAACATAGTATATCAAATTTTGCTTATGATTATTTAAATCGTATATTTGCCGAACCAATATTTAATATATATGATCTTAATTCAAAATTATATGAAAAAAGTAATAAATTAAGAATGATGAATCAACTTCGTTGGGCACTTTATTTTCTAAGAAATTATATATCAACTTGCCGATTTGCTGAAGAGAAAGGGTAAGAAAATGATGATATATTAATAAATAATTAATTGGAAAAATTATTTTAGTTGTCAAAATATATTACAAACATTACCATTTTATATAGCTGAAGAGCCACATGTATATTCATTGCAAGATTTAGTTAAAGTAGGTTATATATATTTATTATAAATTTCTTAAAAATGTCTGTTTTTTAAAGACTAAATCAGGTGAATTACATAAAGAATTTGAACCAATTGTTGTCAATTTTCGTGATCATGTATTAGCATGTGATTTATGTTATGTAAAAGGTTATATATGTGAAATATGTAAGAATGAAAAGAGTATTCTCTTTCCATTTAATCTTCAAAACACAAGTGTCTGTCCGGGTTAGTTTACATATTTTTATTCTTATATAAATACATAGATCAAACCTTGTTTTTAGTATGTCACTCCTGTTTTCATACACAATGTCATGAAGCTAAAAAATATGATTGTCCAAAATGTGAACGAGCTAAGCATCGAAGGTTAGATATTAAATGGACATATTTTTGTCTATGGATTGTGATATACAAATATTATCTGATTCGACGTCATCAATAGAACAAAAAAAATTCTTTCCTATAAATATCAGTAGAGAATATCTTGAAAGGATATGACGCATCGTTTATTCTCTCCTTGCGTTGCCTATAAATGTAGTTACTATTATAGAAACTAGGCAGTAAAACGAAATGAAATTTTCAATGATCAGAAATTCAAGAATTACTTTTTTAAATATAAAAACTATCGAAATTTCATCCACTATAACGAAATATATACATTTTTTTTCAATTTTAGTACAATTACTTCATCAAGTCGAAGTAAGACATCGTCAAATGATTAAGAAGATAATAAAAATCAAAGTCAATTCCAGTCTTTCATCCGTTAATTTTTTAATTAAGATAATTTTCTATATATGTCAATCAATGTTTTCTTCTGATTATAATAATATTAATAAAACCATTTCAATCGACAAATAGCTATTTATCATCCTAATTAAAATAAATAACAAGTTGTTATTTATCATGATAGCAAAAAAAGAAGGCTTGCTTGATTCTGTATCTTGTTTTCATAACTACCTTTATAATATTTGTATACAGTGCCTTAGCATATATTTATCTCTGTTGACGAATGCGACTGATGACATTAGTTGATCGTTGCTCGATGACGAGCATTGAGAGAAATGATCTTGTATAACCGATAGCGAAGAAAACCTAGAGACAAAACATCATTACTATTTTGTATTTTCAAGTAAATGAATGTCAGAGGCATTGTATTGTAACGTTCGATAGAGAAGATCAAGCAAAAAAAAGAGTCCAAATGATGATATTTATCCATATTTTCTATTTATTTCTCATTTAATACATATTCTATTTTCAATATGAGTACGAGTCGATATACAGTTGTTCGACGTCTTAGTCATGTGTTGTTATTGCCATTACATGGTCATATGTCGATTAATAATCGGTAAGAATCATTTTCTTTTCCCATAGACAATTGCTTGCTTAGAATATCATTAGAAAAAAAAAAGACTCTTCATAATCTCAATAGAATATAGATATATATTTGTTGTCAGATGGGACAAATAGGAAGAAAAAAACGAGCCTTCAATCTATCAACGGAAAGACATTGATGATGATCAAATAGAGAATTGTTTTATTTGCTTGACATATCTATTGCCGTTTACTTATTCTGTCTAACTTGGTGATGAATTCTAATAAGTAAGAATTATTTTATAAAGATTATGATAATTAGTTTTATTTCAATCAAATGTATTTACTGAAAAAACAGAAGACGAAATCTTTCTCTCTTTCTTTCTTTTTTTGACTATTGTTTATTATTCAAAATGATATTCATCTCGTTTCTGTTCTGTATTACTAGAAAACTATGCAGACATATTATAGTATATCATTGAAAAGCAATCTGTTAAAGAAATAGCTTCGTCGTATGCTGGTCATGTATTGCGCTTGACTGCTATCTTTACTTTCATTATGTACATTGCGCATACGGTTTGTCGCTTCTTTCTATCAGAATAAGACAATGTGTTGCATTTATAATAATAGCAAAAATAAATGAGACATAAAATAGGGTTTGACTTAATCGCGTTTCAAGCGCATATATATATACATTCATAGCGTCGATACAGCATATGTATAAATGGGTAATAGCAGAAGGATGATCTGATGAATAAGTTGATTGATTGATTGCGAATTTATTTGCTACTTTATTTAATATGAAAAAAGATACGTTAATACGTCAATCATCACAAAAAGTTTTTATTAGTAAAAATACTCGTCATGATTCACTCATACGAACATATTCGTTGCCTGTATCATTTTATCGTGAGAGACAAAGCAGGTAATGTTTAATTTTCTCTTTATCGTTTTTCAATTATATGAAGGTTAAATTAATTAGTGTTAGAGTATTTATAGAAGAATCCATTGGGTATTCGAACATTTTCTTATGCCTATTTTCTTATTAATATAATTGAAAATGTTGATCATCTATCATTCTGTCATCTTTTTTGACGTGAACATGATGACAACAGCAGTAACAATGTATTTACATTATGTAGATTTAACATCATCACATCGTCTAATTATGATACAATAGAAAAGTTTTAAAGTAAAATTTAGACTCTGTTTTAATACTAAAAAATATACCGGAAATTCTTCTTCGACTAGGACATATTCCTCTAATATAAAAATATGTTAATATTTGTTTTCTATGATGATATTAATAGACAAATGAGTATGTACACGTTCTTGATTACGATTTAATACAATCTCGTTTTCACTGCATGATATCAGATTAATTACATAGGAAAAGAATAGATAAAAAATGTTAGATTTGTATATACGTATTTAACAGTGTATTCATCTATTGTGACATTATTACTATTATTAAATAAGAACAAGAATCAACAGGATGCATCGACTTTCTTATTAGTTGTATTGCACTGGAGTATATTAGTAGTAGTCACTACAAGAACAGATGCTGATGATTTCTCTATGAAATAACGTGTAACAATGGGGTGACAGCCAGCTTGATAATATAATTCTTTCTTTTTTTCTTCTCTCTCTCCTAGCATTTGTTCGGTGACGTTAACAGTCAGACATACACGCGTGTACAGTTGAATGCCGATCAAACAAGCAGGAACAGCAGTATTGTCTAGTGCCATTTCTTTTTCTCTGTCTTACACTGATGGTGTATTCTATTCTATACTGATTAGAAAAGAAGACACTGATCTGCTTCTTTCTTCTTTATATACATAAATATATATGTATATATATACAGTCCATACTGGTTCGATTGTATCCTTCCGTATACTGATCCGATTTTTCTCGAGGATACGAATAATCAAAAACAGATTAAGACAAAAGAATGCGTCCTGGTCAAGTTTTTGTTGTTTATCGTTCAGCAGCTCTTTCTTTGGCAAAATCAAAGTAATGCATTTAAAAAAGAATAAAATTTTCGTTTTTATGTCTTCATTTAATATTAAAACTTAATTCGATATATATATTATTTTCTATTACAGTATGCGTCGACGACAAGCTAAAGATTCACCTGTAATTGATAATCAACGAATATGTACGAAAGTAAATTGTTTGCGATGTTGCAAAAAATTTACAGCATTTATGTTTTCACGTGTTGGTTTATTTTTCGTTATGATGGGTTATGTTGCTCTTGGTGGTGTACTTTTTCAATTACTTGAAGCTGGAAATGAACGTAATATGCGTCTTGAAATGGAAAGTAAACTTAATTTAACACTTGGCAAATTATGGAATGAAACTTTACGTGTTAATTCATTTCCAAAAACTGATAAAAAAGGAAATTTTAGTCTCTATGCATCACGTGAACTTGAGTAAGATAGTTTTTAATAGAAAAAAAACAAATATTAATTCAATTTAATTTTAGATTATTTGAAGATACAGTTATAAAACAAGTACAACAAGGTTTTGATGGACGAACAGCTGATTCTGATCATGATTGGAACTATTTTGGAGCTGTTCTTTATGCTGTCACACTTGTTTCAACAATTGGTAAGAAAAATTGAACGTTAATAACTGTTGACAAGGTCTTATAGATATCTAAACCTTGCAATAGCAATGATTAGATGAGAGTTGAAATTTTCTTTTCATAGGCTATGGTCATATAACAACAAAGACAGCTGAAGGAAAAATAGCAACAATACTTTATAGTGCTTTTGGTGTACCATTGATGATGCTTTTCGTTGCTAATATTGGTTCAACTATGGCGAAAATGTTTTCATTTGTATTTACACGTATGACAATGATACTTTGTTGTCGAATGAGTAATAAGAAAAAACGTGCATCACTTTTAAAGAATCGACAAATGTTATTTGAAAAACCTAATCAATTACCAATTTCGATAACTAATAATGAAATAAAAGAAGTTATAACAACAAATTCAAATTTTGAAGAAAAAATGAAAGAATCAGTTTTATCGAAACCTCTATCAACAACAAGTGCAACAACAGATGATATTGTTTCAACTGATTTACGACAATTATCACCGGATATGCGTTTGAATATACTTACAGGAATGACAAATTTAAATTCAACACGTTCTTTAACAACATCAGTAAATTCTATTGGAGGAAAACCTAAAGATGCTCTTAATCGTATCAATGAACTTATTCGACAAAATTCTGTTCAGGATATTGAAGAAACCAGTGGCATTGATCATATTAATGAACCAAATCCACAACAGTCTGTTGATCTTAATCAAATTCAATATTATATAAATGAAACAAATAAATTAACAAACAATCTTGATAGTCCTGTACAAGAAAAGTCGATAACACCGGTCGAGAAAGTCGAAGATGATATGAAACAAGTAAAAAAATAATTTTTTTCAGATAGATTTATAAATCAGATATTTCTTACTGCTATCGAATATTTTGGTTTCACAAAAAATTCATCATCATTTGTTGTTTTTTTCATAGGTTGTCATAGATGAAGATGTTTCTAATACTCCCGGTACTGATAATGATAAGAAAACAAAAAAGACTTCGAAAAAGAATTTACAACGTTCAAAATCTGAAGCAACACATAATCGTCAATCACCAGGAAGTGATAATGAACCATCGAATACAGCAGGGAAACCTGCACGTCGACGTTTTTTTTCACGTAAAAATGATAAATTAAAAAAACAGATGACTGTTGATGATGGAACTAATGAAAATTTATTACGACAACAAGTAGATTCTGTTCAAGTTCATCAAGTAAATGAACAGTTACCTCGTACATTACCACCTCCACCGAATTATGAACAGTCAACAATAAATGATATAACTCCATTACCACCAACTGTAACATGGAAAGATGAACATCAATTTTATCCAACAGTCGATTTAACAAATTCTAATTTTGAAGATGATGAAGATTTTGATGATGATGAAGAAATGGCTGTTCCTTTGCTTGTTACTGTTTTTGTCATTCCGCTTTATTTAACACTTGGCGCTATATTATTTAATATTTGGGAAAATTGGGGTTTTCTTAATTCATTTTATTTTTGTTTTATAACAATAACAACAATTGGTTTTGGAGATTTTGTACCTGGAGCATCATTAAAAGTTGAAGCTGAAAAAGAAAAACTGATTTCTGCGGCTGTATATATTTTATTTGGTCTCGTACTTATTGCAATGTGTGTTAATCTAATGAAAGAACAATTAAGTCAAAAAGTAAAACGAGTTGCTAGCAAATTGGGCAGTTTTTAAATTTTAGGAATTTTTTTTTTCTCAAGAAATATATACATGTTCGTTTTTTGTCTGTATATCTTTCTATTAAATAAATAACCGTGCAAATCATACGATATGATTAGGTAAAGATACATTACACTGCTCATTAACTATGAAGTGTATTGAGCAGTATTATATTTTTGAAGGTAATAGTTATTATAATTAAATAATGCTATATTGAGTTAGTATACGATAAAAAGAAGGAAATAAATAATCTAAGAACGAAAACAGCTATTCAAGTATAAGGGTACATGTGTGAACCCATTATCTCGCGTGACTACGGATCGCAATACATGTACTGAAAACGCTACTTTTACGCATAAAATCAAACGAAGAATTAACAGTATATTATTAATATTCTGTGATTCTTAAATGGAATGAAGTCTAGAGTACATAAATATAAAAATAAGTTATGTTTCTCTGATCAAGAACAGCAGTTTGATTGTGTTTCAAATTTTAATCACACAGAAATTGTATACTAATTGTCTTCAGTTGAAAGACATTTGAGCGTCATAGCTTTTCATCGGCAGATTATTTCATTCAAGAACATTTTGCCAACGGAATGTGTTGCTAAATTATTTTTGTATAACTGACAAAAAGGCAAAAGAATGAGATCGCTATTTTATATATATATATCCGCAAATAATCATTATTCGCTGTTAGTAGTCACTCATTCATTTCTATCTTACTTCGAGTCTATGATCGTTTTTTAATTCAAACTGAATTTTTGCGATAAAAATGGGCTGTTCTTTTCTGAAACCTGTGAGTTTTTTGGATCTTAATAAAACGAGTCGTTTCATCGATGCTAACATAACAATCTTCAGTTGTTCAACATTGCACTCATCCTCATCGCAACTGAAATGCTGCTCCTTGTTTGACACATAATCGATATTTTTACTACGACACGTTTGAGCATTTGTATTATCATATGCATAGTATAGAGTCCCAATTTTTCAAGAATACAGGTCTGCAGATCTTTAAATGTATATATCGGGTGTGAGCGGATGGATAGGAGAGTCAGTGTGGGTAATAATTGCACCTTATCAATATCCACACCCTCAAACAATAGAAAATAAATATGTCAATAAAGAGGTCACCATGAGATGCATATATTATCGTATAATATTTTGTTTGATAGATTAAAATTCTTATTAGTTATAATACTTTAATACACAGATTATTCCATATATTTAGACCCGAATAAGCTTTAATTTGAAATAATATAAGATCATTTACTAAGCTAGACAACTAAGAAATATGTAGAATGTGTTAGTTGTTCGAATAAATAAGTAAAAGAATCTCATCTTACTGGAATCATGATCACATTTAGATATAAAAGAACTTTTCTCAGATTGTTGAAAATAAAAGGAGTGCGGGTGCGATTTCATCTTTTCTTTCTCACATCTAAACTCACCTTCATCCGCATCCGCACACTCACCTTCGTCCACACATCCATTCTAGAGCAGGCTTTAATCTATCCAGATGCAAAAGCTCGGCCACCTATGTTAATTAAAGCATATGATTAATATAAGATAGAAAACGAGATATTATCAAGTCTTTTTCTGTCGATTTCATTTGTTGGACTGCAGCTCTTTCGTTTGTCGAAGACAAATGCACATTTTTTACAACTTTAATTTTGTTATGTATATCATGGTCATATACAGACTTTCAGCCGAAAGAATGCGCCGTAAAAAAATCATAAAAGCTACTTTAAACATTTTTTTACTTCGGATTCTCAAAATAGCAAGCATAATTCTACATGTCTTTTTCGTCGACGAAAATAAAAGACTTATTTTTTGTGGATTATCTTGATGTTTGTCAAAGATATAACAATATATCACCATTTTGCTTCTTTCGTTCTTTATTTGATTTTTTTTATAACAACATCATAAACAGATAAGAATAAAACATTTCGAAAGGAAGTAGACAACTATGAAAAGAATCGTTTTTGATCATTACTTCATACTAATAAATTTTACACAGTAACTCCAATTCAAACCGTTCACGTAGCAAACAATGAACAAAGGAAAATCAACAAAAAATGCATGTACAGTTCCAAAAGATGCAGAAGGTCGTCGACGTATCAATATCCACCAAATGCAAAACGTTCTTCTAATCTGGTTAGACAGTAACATTGACGAAACCAATGATGATTGTCAAAACACCATCACAAAATTACGACGTGCTGTTAACGATATCAATATATATACAAATCGAGATCAATGCATTGAATTCATTCAAACAGTCATCGATAACAAGGTATGCATGATCGTATCAGGATCGCTTGGACAACAAATTGTGCCTCGTGTGCACAATATGTCTCAAGTTGATTCGATATTTATTTTTTGTGGTAATAAAAAATATCATGAACAGTGGGCCAAAGATTGGGCCAAAATAAAGGGCGTCTTCACAGATATTAAATCCATTTGTGAAGCACTCAAATCGACAGCTCAACAATGTGAACAAAATGCCATTCCCATGAGTTTCGTGGGAACGAATAAAAAGTTGGATCAATTAGATCCTTCTTTTATGTACACTCAAATCATTAAAGAAATCATATTAACCATCCAATTCGACCAAAATCATAAACAAGATTATTTCGATTACTGTCGTGAGACTTTTACTGACAGTAAAGAGGAATTGATTAATATTAAGCGATTAGAAGATGAATACCACAAGAAAACACCCATTTATTGGTACACCTGTCAAATGTTCTTGTATCCCATGCTCAATCGTGCACTACGATTGATGGATGGTGATATCATTACACGTATGGGCTTCTACATTGGTGATTTACATCGCCAGATTGAACAACTACACAAGGAACAATATGCTGGTGCAACTGCTGCTAACACCTTTACCGTTTATCGTGGTCAAGGCTCATCTACAGAGGATTTCGAACAAATGAGCAAAACTAAAGGTGGACTTATTTCATTCAACAACTTCTTATCTACCAGTACGATTCGCAAAGTTTCACTAGATTTTGCTCAAGATGCTGCCAGAAATCCAGATCAAGTTGGTGTACTTTTTATCATGAAAGTTAATCCTGCTCAATCAACAACACCATTTGCTTCAATTGCTGGTATCAGTGAATTCAAAGGAGAAGAGGAAGTCTTGATTTCGATGCATAGCGTGTTTCGTATCCAGGATATTAAACAAATGGGTGGAAATAATCGTTTATATGAAGTTAATTTAGTACTGACTGCTGACAACGATCCAGAATTGAGCAGGCTTACTGATTACATTCGACAAGAGAATTCTCCAGACGCTGAAGGATGGGCACGGTTGGGTTTGGTACTATTTAAAATGGGTCAATTTGACAAAGCGGAAGAGATTTATCAAGTTTTACTTGATCAGACGAAGTATGATAAAAACAAGGCACCTATTTATGATCAGCTTGGTTCAATCAAAGATGATCAAGGAAAATATGAAGAAGCACTTACATTCTATGAGAAATCACTTGCTATCTATCAAAAAACTCTTCCACCAAATCATCCTAATTTGGCTAATTCCTACAACAACATTGGTAATGTGCATGACAACATGGGTAATTATCCAAAAGCACTTTCATCTCATGAAAAAGCCCTTGAAATTCGACAACAATTACTTCCTCCCAATCAACTTAGCTTGGCTGCTTCCTACAACAACATTGGTGCAGTGCATTACAACATGGGTAACTATCCAAAAGCACTTTCTTATTATGAGAAAGATCTTGAAATCAATCAACACTCACTTCCTCCTAATCATCCTGATTTGAGTATGTCCTACAACAACATTGGTGAAGTGCATAGAAACATGGGTAATTATCCGAAAGCACTTTTATCTCATAAAAAAGCCCTTGAAATTCGACAACAATCACTTCCTCCAAATCATCCTGATTTGGCTAAATCCTATAACAACATTGGTAATGTGCATTACGACATGGGTAATTATCCAAAAGCACTTTTATTTCATGAAAAAGCCTTTGACATTCGACAACAATCACTTCCTCCCAACCATCCTGATTTGGCTAAATCCTACAACAACATTGGTGAGGCGCATGCCAAGATGGGTAATTACTCAAAAGCCCGTACATTTTATCAACATGCTATACAAATTGCACAACAACTATTACCTTCAAATAATCCGAATCTACAAGATTATAAAAATAACCTCGAAGACGTAAAAAACAAATAATAAATTGTATTGTTATGAGTTTTATTTTATGAAAGAGAAAAAGTAAATTTTTTAAACAAGAATAAATTTGATTTAAATACACGCGCATACAGAGAAAGTTTGATCTTGTCGAGACACAGATGAATGGTAACACCCATCGGTAAGGTAAACAATACATATCAAGAGACATGTATTGTAGAAAAAGACCATCACGATATAAAATTATTGTGTCTGATCAAGGTCGAGGTTCTCTGTGTTGGATAAGGAAAAAAACGACCATCCAACATGCTGTTTAAAGTAATGAAATGAGAAAAAGAACTGTATTTATTCAGTACTAAGAATTATTCTTTGTGTTCCAATAAAAAGAATAATGCATAATAGGGTGTGTGGTGTGGGTGTGGGTAAGAATGAATGTACAGATAGAACCAGCCTACACGCATCCACACCCAAATCATACATGTTTAAGTCTTTTTTTCCTTGTTAATAACAAATGCAATATTTAAAACGTCAATCTCTGCCATCTACATAATAATCACATATGGGCTTTCGCTTGAAAGCTAGTTTAAACATCATTTAGATTTCATGTTTACTAATTAGTGATCATGAAATATGTTGTCAAACTTGTATAATTCATCAAATATTTGATCAAGTAAAAAAATCTTTTTCTCACTCGCAATTATCCAATAACAGACATTACTCAATACGTTTTTTCTCCGTAAAAAGACAGAAAATAATTCTTTCTCGCGGACTCACTCGATGTTTAGTAACCACATAACAGTATTTCATCACTTTATTTTTGTCATTCTTCATCTGTTGTTTTTCATAGCAACTTCGTAAACTATCAAAAAAAATGTTTTTTTGAAAGCAAGTAGGCACCTACACGAACAAACCGGTTTTGATCACTAATTCAGTAGTAAACTCTACACAGTTACTTAAATCGAAAGAATTCACACAGTCAATAATGTACAAGGGAAAATCAACAGCAACTAACAAATCTGATGATGCAGAAAGCCGTCGACGTATTAATATCCAACAGATGCAAAATGTTCTTCTAATCTGGTTAGACAGTAACATTGATGAAACGAATGATGATTGTCAAAATACAATCACAAAATTACGACGCGCTGTTAACGATGTCAATACATATACAAATGGTGATCAATGCCTTGAATTCGTTCAAACCATTGTCGACAAAAAAGTATGTATGATTATATCTGGATCACTTGGACAACATTTTGTACCTCGTGTGCACAGTATGTCTCAAATTGATTCAATATTTATCTTTTGTAACAACCGAAAACATCATGAACAATAGATCAAAGATTGGCCTAAAATAAAAGGTGTCTTCACAGATATTACATTCATCTGTGAAGCACTCAAGAAAGTTGCTCATCAATGTGAGAAGAATGCCATTCCTATCAGTTTCGTGGAAACAAATAAAAGGTTGGATCAATTAGATCCTTCTTTTATGTACACCCAAATCATTAAAGAAATTATATTAACCATCCAATTCAACCAAAATCACATCCAAGATTATCTTAATTACTGTCGAGATGCTTTTGCTGACAATGAAGAAAACATGAAAAATATTAAACGATTAGAAAGTGAATACCACAACAAAACACCAATCTATTGGTATACCTGTCAAATGTTCCTGTATCCCATGCTCAACTGTGCACTACGACTGATGAATGGTGATATCATAGCACATATGGGTTTCTTCATTCGTGATTTACATCGACAGATTGAACAACTACACGAGGAACAATATGCTGGTACAACTGCTGCTAACACCTTCGCCGTTTATCGTGGACAAGGTTTATCTACAGGAGATTTTGAACAAATGAGCAAAATTAAAGGTGGTCTTATTTCATTTAATAATTTTTTATCTACTAGTACGGTTCGCAAAGTTTCACTGGGTTTTGCTCAAAATGCTACAATAAATCCAGATCAAATTGGTATACTTTTTATCATGAAGGTTAATCCTGCCCAATCGACAACACCATTTGCTTCCATTGCTGGTATCAGTGACTTTGAAGGAGAAGAGGAAGTCTTATTTTCCATGCATAGTATTTTTCGTATACAGGATATTAAACTGACGAGTGGAAATGATCGTTTATATGAAGTTAATTTGACACTGACTGCTGACAACGATCCAGAATTGAGCAGACTTACAGATTACATTCGACAAGAGAGTTTTCCAGACGCAGAAGGATGGTACAGATTAGGTTTGGTATTACGTAACATAGGTGAATTTGACAAAGCTGAAGACATTTATCAGGTTTTACTTGATCAAACAAGGAATGATAGAGAAAAGGCAGCGATTTATGATCAACTTGGTACGATCAAAGCTATGCAAGGAAAATACCAAGAAGCACTTACACTCCATGAAAAATCACTTGCTATCTATCAAAAAGCTCTTCCTCCCAATCATCCTGATTTGGCTTCTCCCTACAACAACATTGGTATAGTGCATAGAAACATGGGTAATTATCCAAAAGCACTCTCATCCCATGAAAAAGCCCTTGAAGTTCAACAACAATCTCTTCCTCCCAACCATCCTGATTTGGCTTCTTCCTACAACAACATTGGTGAAGTGCATGACAGGATGGGTAAATATCTAAAAGCACTTTCATTTCATGAAAAAGCCTTTGAAATTCGACGACAATCACTTCCTCCCGATCATCCTGATTTGGCCCTTACCTACTACAACACGGGTTTGGTGCATGAACACATGAGTAATTACTCAAAAGCCTGTACATTTTATGAACATGCTATACAAATTGGAGAACAATCATTACCTTCAAATCATCCAGAACTTCAAAAGTATAGAAATAATCTTGAACTTCTAAAAAACAAATAACAAATTGTATTGCTATGAATTTTGTTTTTGTGAAAAAGAAAAAATTAACCTTTTAAGCGACAAAAGAATTATTTTAAAATGCGCGCGCGTACATAGCAACTCTTACCTTATTGAGACACAAATAAGAAGTGATATTCATTGGTATGGTAAACAATACATATCAATAAACATGTATTGTAGAAAAAGACCTTGACGATATATAATTATTGTGTCTGAACAAGGTAGAGTTTCCCGGTATTGGGTAAAAAAACAATGACCACCCAACAAGCTGTTTAAAGTAACGAAGAGAGAAATATAGAACTGTATTTATTTGGTACTATGAATTATTTTTTCTATTGCAATAAAAAGAATAATGCATATGTATTGAATAAATAAACGAAAGATAGAAAAATAAATGATTTGTATAGATATTAACTTACCATGAAACAGATCAGTATGTTGATATGAATAGAAAACACATCTCAACTAAACGCGGTTGAATTCCTTTTTCATTTTTGTCACTTTATTTTGATTTAATTTTAGACATTAAAACAAAAGAATTTTTTTCTGAGATCGTACAAATATTCAAAATAAATTGAAAAAATCTTTTTCTTTCAGAATATTATGTATTTGAATTGTCTTGATAATTTAAAGAGAATATTGTCGAAGTCATGTTGATCATTGACATGGTCATATCTAATAAAATATATTCTTAATAAGTTTCTTCATAGAATTGTTTTCATCTAACTGTTGACTTTAAAAGAAAATAAAATATATTTTTGGAAATACTTTTCTTTTCAGTTCGTCAATATTTACAATTAAAAAATCTTTATTTCTAAATAAGATTTTATCTTTTATTAGCAATGATTTGTTTATTTTTTAAGGCGATAACATTCATATTCAGAGATTTGTTTCATGTTGGAATGTTTTTCTTTAATATTCTTTGAATTTTATTTGAAAAAATATTTTAGATTTATTGTAAAACTAAATCGAGACTGTTAAATAAGGGTGTGGGTGCTGTTGTAATCATATATCGACCCACCCTCAAGAGAAAAAGGCCTTAACAACGTTCACTACAAATTTATGTTGTATGTTTATTCGTTCTGGATCAAATATGAGATGTAATTGAACATTTCTCTTTTTTACAACATGCACATAATCAATGGTTTTAGAATAATTAATGTTATAGTCATTTTTATATACTACACTGCAAGCTATATAAACAGCAGTGAAAATTGAATGTTACTGAATTCTGATGAAAATCACATAACATGAGATGCAATTATTAAATTTTTGTATAGAAGGTTAGTTTATCTTAAAAATGCAGTTGAAGGTATAGAGCAAGCATATACATACATGAAAACAATATTTCTTTCATGTTATGTAAAAGATTCAATCAGCTGTAGCAAAATTTTTGACTAATATCATGAATGTTTGCTGTTTTATTCTCTTTTCGATCAATAATGCTAAGTTTAGTTCTTGTTACAATTAAATATTGTCTTGCATGTTATCTAAATAATTACAAAATTGTAGTTGATGCAGCACAATCCTTAGCAACATTTTAAAATACAATATAGATCAGATAACAGGAAGATAGAAATCAAAAAAAAATTGGAGTTACTTATCATTTTTACCATTTCAAAAAAGAAATGGAATCATTGATAGTCTTATTCTGCATAAAATATATGACTTTCTTCTTTTACTCATAATAGACTAGATATGACTCCCTTACTATTTCTCATACTGAAGTTAAACGTAACAAATTTGTAAATCTTCAAACTGAAAAGACTCAGTTTTTGAATGTTGAGAAATCTATGACCATGGAAGGATCCTAAACTGAAACAGAACAGACAAAAAATGACGAAGGTAGAATTAGCATCATATTCGTTCAGGAAGCTGTTACAAGTATAAATCGATGAGTTCTATTTAATAGTATACTCAGATTCTACATAACTCAAACTTTAAATGTCGAATACATATGTGGCGCCACGAAAATCGTCGGGGGATGGTTCAGATCCTCATCAACTGATCACATCATTAATGAAACACTTGTTATATATTATTGGTTGGTTCATATTATGTTATTAGTAATAAAAAATATTTTTCAATATTCTCCTAAAGTAATATTGATGAAGGTTTCCTCTATTATATGAATTAGAATACATACAAAATATTTCGAATTCTCTTTCATAATCCAAAGCGCCATCTTTTAAAATATCATGGGGGCACATAACACTGTATCAAGATTGGTAAATCCATATCATACCATTTAATATTCTTTTGGAATAAGCAACATAAAGTTAAAAAAAAGTTCAACGATCATCTGACTTTTATTCAGTATTCAATTTCAATATGCTTGTTTTATTCGAAACATCAGCTGGTTATGCTGTGTTTAAAGTTCGTTTTCATTTTTCAATAATCTTTTTGGGTATTTTCATCAAGGTTTTTTCGTTTAGTTACTCGATGAAAAAAAATTGCAAGAAACAAGCAATTTATATGCTGATTTTGAATCACCAGAAAAAGCTGCTAAAGTGTATGATTGAATTCTTTAAGAACTTTTCTTATTCTATATTTGCGTTTATTTTAGTTTGAAATTAGTTAGTTTTGAAAAATTTGATGATACAACACAAGCACTTGCAGCTGTAACCGCAACAGTTGAAGGGAAAATCTCTAAACCATTAAAAAAATTACTTAAACGTCTTGTGAACTCTGATATTCAGGAAAAATTACTTGTTGCTGATTCCGCACTTGGCAAAGCTATTAAAGTTTGTTTTAAAAAAATATTTATTCAATAATTTTATTTTAATGTATTTTTTCTAGGAAAAATTTAGTTTTGAATGTACTGCTAACAGCTCAGTTCAAGATCTTATGCGTGTTATTCGTTCACAAGCGGACAGTCTTTTACAAATTGATGAAAAGGAATTGGCTGCTATGCGTATTGGTTTAGCACATAGGTAAAATATTATGGATTAACTTTTTTGTATGATTTCACTTAAGTATCTAACGAGTATTATCCCTTCGACGCTGTCCTCATTTTTTCGCACGAAAAACGTCATGTGGGTCCAACTGGATCCACATACAATTACCCTGGAGTAATCTTGAGGATGGGTGTGGGGTATAGAATAGTTACTCACACCCACACCCTCAAGATTGAACAAGAAACAAAATCACATATATAACACCAAAGATGTCACGTGGTCCGCGTGGACCCACCCCTTAATTTTTCCCCTGCAAGAGGCATAGGAGAAATTTCATATGGCCTTCGTGCATTGTTAGAAGAATAACGATTAGAGAAGAGATCGATCAGAAAATAATACGTATTAACGTAACTAAAAACAAAAAACAGCGTTGTGGGTTCTGTTGGACCCCCAAACAGCGTAGAAGGGTTATTTGCTTTTTCAACCGAAGAAAGTTATACAAGTGTAAAAAAAATAGTTCCGCGCCCTCTTATACTTAAATCTGAAGTGGCCAAAATTGATTTCAGTCGCTCTTAGAAATAAAATCTTTTTCTTCTAGCTTATCACGTTACAAATTAAAATTTTCACCTGATAAAGTCGATACAATGATTGTTCAAGCTATTGGTATGTATATTTTCATTTGAAAATATTATTCATTTATTTTTTCTATTATCTATAGCTTTATTGGATGATCTCGACAAGGAAATAAATAATTACATCATGAGATGTAAAGAATGGTATGGTTGGCATTTTCCCGAATTAGCTAAAATTGTTCAAGATAATGTTGCTTTTTGTAAAATCGTATTAAGAATTGGTTCGTTATTTTTTTATCCTACAAAACAATTTTACTTATATTTTTTTCTAATTAATAGGTTACCGAACAGCTGCAGCTGAACTTGATTTAAGCGATATCTTACCAACTGATGTTGAAACACAGGTCAAAGAAGCAGCCGAAATATCAATGGGAACAGAAATATCTGAAGAAGATATTACAAATATTCGTCATCTTTGTACACAAGTACGTTTGATTGAATTGATACCAATGCGATGAATATGAATATCTCATGTTCGAATCTAACTTAAAGTACTGATAATCTATGATGATTTTAATCACCGCCCCAGTCTGATTTCATATCATGTTGATCGGTCCCAAACTGAGATTATTGGTTTTATCAAAAACAATTTTTATTTAATTTAAATAGGTTATTGAAATATCGGATTATCGTGCACAATTATTTGAATATCTTAAAAATCGTATGATGGCCGTTGCACCTAATTTAACTGTTCTTGTTGGTGAACTTGTTGGTGCTCGACTTATTGCACATGCTGGATCATTAGTTAATCTTGCTAAACATCCATCATCAACCATACAAATTTTAGGTGCTGAAAAAGCTTTATTTCGTGCTATGAAAACAAAACATGATACACCGAAATATGGTTTAATCTATCATGCATCATTAGTTGGTCAAACATCGGCTAAACTTAAAGGTAAAGTTAGTCGAATGTTAGCAGCAAAATCATCATTAGCAGTACGAGTTGATGCACTTGGCGAAGATACCGATGCAACAATGGGCATAGAACAACGTGCTGATTTAGAAAAGAAATTCTCATTACTTGAACAGAATGCGGTAAGAATAATAATAATAATAAACTATCTCTAGAAAACTTTATTTTATTTTCAGACAAAACGTATATCTGGTACAGGTAAAATGCAAGCAAAATTTGATAAATACCAGAAAAATTCGTAAGTGATATTATTATTTACTTTAGTTTATTCTTTTTTTCTTCAAAATAGTGAAAGAGGACAATTCAATCAAGATCAATCTTCAACATTACCTCATAAACGCCAATCCGATTTTGGTGGCCGAGGTGGTGCTAACAAACGATTTAGAAGTGACAACATGAATAAATCATTCGTAGTCTAATCTAGCTGTTCTTTTTTCTGTTTGGCTATGAATGCCCGTAATTGTTACTTGTTTTTTTTGTAATGAAAAAAAATAACGAAAACAAACACATGAAAATATTTGTTATAAAATATTAAAATATAAAATTTTAAAATTTAATCCTGACTTCTCCCTTGAAATACTTTTCCATAGAATTTCAAGTAGTAAACGTCAGGTAAAGGATATAATAACTCTTTATTCCAAAGAAAAAAATCTTATTGTTTTTTTTCAAATATCAATAAGGTTATAGGCATAAAAAAGAGTACAAAAGAAACTTCTCTTCAATACAGACTATAATTTAAACATAATGCTTTACATTGATGGACAAACTCAAACATGACATCCGTTGTGCTTTCGTTATAATTATAGTGTGCACATTTATACCGGAAGATAAAACGGAAAAGAAATCCTTTTTTTTCTCTTTTGGTTGCATATGAATGATAACTGAATGTCTTGGAACTTTGTATTTATGTCAAGTTATATAAGAATATAATCAAAAGAAAATCGATAAATAAAATCGAAATATATATTTCTATTTTTACATAATAAAATATGAATAATTCTTGTCAAATATGATTTACATTTTTTATCAAGAAGAAATTGATAAAAAAAACTTCAATAATATTGTTGAAGATCTCAAAAAAAATGGTTTCTAAAACTAATCGAAATATAAATTTCTCGTTAGATTTACTCTTCATATACAATATATGTACCGGTTTTTAATCTTAAACTCATTTGAATTTAGTTTTTATTCTATTGAAATATTAACCAATGAAAATATATCTTAAATTCATTCTCCTATTGGATGAAAAGAGAAAAAATAATTTCTCTCTCTCGCTTTTCTCTTACATTCCTTTTTTTCTCTCTCTCTCTTTTTTCATTCAAATTACCCGTAATTATTATCGTTGAAACGAACACACATAGGCTATCGTCAACTTGTTGTAAAGAAAAAAGAACCCACAAGAGCAGATCATTATTACCATCATCATCAGGCTAATCTTTTACAAAAAAAAGACAATTTACTCCCCAATTGATCGTTTTCTTTCTTTGTATTGTATTCATCAATGCATCGCTAACCATAATTATCGAAGGGAAATTACGCTTACGCTCGTCTAACTTCATTAATTTCTTATTCATCTCTATTATTATTTCATCGTACAAATTATAACTATCGAAATTATTCCAAACGAAAAAAAAGAAAGAAATGATGCATAATGAACCAATCCAAACACTTCCATCAAATGCATTTCTTGATTTTACTAATCAACCGCCACCATCACAACCCTCATCAATAGATCTATCGAATTCAACCAATCAACAACAACAATACTCAAATTTTATACATAATACATATCCAACATCACAAGAACAATTCTATCCATCACCATATTCCTATCCATATAATATACCATATTCATCATTAGGTATTGATTCGAATCTTGATGATAAATGTCATTATGATAATCCACCAAAATTAACATTGAAAGGAAAAAAAATTCGTAAACCTAGAACAATTTATTCGAGTATGCAATTACAAGTACTTAATAAACGTTTTCAACGTACACAATATCTTGCTTTACCAGAACGTGCAGAATTAGCTGCTTCACTTGGACTTACACAAACACAAGTAGATAAAATAATTATTTGAAAAAAAGAATTACTTTTTTTTTGTTTCGTTTTAGGTGAAAATTTGGTTTCAGAATAAACGAAGTAAACAAAAAAAAGTTGTTAAAAATGTTAGTCATCATTCATCGTCGTCTTCCCAACCCTCTAACCCGAACCTATCACCACATCATCATATATCACGATCAATAAACAATAAATCTAGTGATTCTATGTTTTTAGTAAAACAAGAACAACAACCAACATCATCATCGACATCATCATCATCAACAAATTCAAATTCATTTATTATTGATGCTGCATCATCATCATCCCCATATGGACATGGAATAGATTATACAAATAATCCAAATAGTTTTTGGTCATTACCACCACAACCACCATATACGACTAGTTAGATGAAAGCAAAAAAAGACTCACATTTGGACAAAAAAAATAGTTGTGAAAAGTTCTTTCGATGTTTCTTTTTTTCTCCTCTTTGATTGTGTGTATTTATATGCAAGAAATGAAAAGAAAAAAAAAAGATTTCTGTTTTATATTTTATTATTATTATTATTCATATTGTAAAAGAAAACTAGAAAGAGAGAGAGAGGGGGAGGAAGGGAGCGAGAAAGAAAGAAAGGCTGACAAACATATTTAATAGTTTATGAAAGAAAAAGCTCTAATTATCTTATTCTGTTTGCTGATTTAATATGGTTATCAAGTTAAACTTCATTATTTTAGTAACTTATTTTCAACCTATAAAAATGCCCTTGCCTAGGCGGATTTAAAGAAACAAAAAAAATATTAATTGCCATAGATCATACGTTCAAATATTTTTTAATAATATCAAAAAATGCATTGTATAACAGTTAAAATTATTTTTGAAAAATTAAGTAAAGTGTTTTCGATAAAGAAGTAAAGCGATATCGATGAAATTATAATTTCATCACCTTCAAAACGAAAAACGAAGCTGTGTTTATGATCATCATACTGTTCTTCATGTATACATATTGCACAGTTAAAAGCCTTGCGGCATGATGATTATTAAGTGAAGAGAGGAAAAGAAAGGACAATTATCTTCTCATTTTGATACTGTTTTTCACCTGATCTCTTCAATCGAGAGATGCTAATCTCTACACTCAAGTAGAAAGAAAGAAAGAAAAGAAACATATTTTCAACATGAAGACATCTGCTCTATTGCACGCGTCCAATTGAAGATGATGATATTCTTATTACAAACTTTCAGCTATGATTTCCGTTAATGTGTTGTTCATTTTCACCAATGTATACTAATTATAACTCAACATAAATCTCCTCCTTTTCCATTAGTCGGCAGGCAATTCTATAATTAGATAGAATCTGAAGAAGAAAAAAAAGAAAATCAAGGATTCTCTATCTTTAACGTTTGATTGAATTTTTCTTCTTCGTTGTGTCTCTATTCGTCAGCAAGAGTACAACATCCTTTTAGAAAAGCTGATTATCATTATTTTGTTTTGATCTTTACAATGCATGAATGATCTATGAAAAAGAAAAACTAGACAGAAATAAATCTGTTTTATTATTGACAATATATGTGTTAGTGCAGAAATGATCTGTTCTTAAAAAAGATTTAGAATTATTTGATTGATCATGACAGGTTACCATCGAAATTGTTTATGACAGCAAAGACAATATAGAAGGCTAATTATGTCGTTCGTGATAACATGCTGTGGTAGTGACTATTACTTTTGATCAACGATTATATTGAATGAATACAGTAGAGAAAGAAAAGAATGTTTTTGACAGATTTATCTTCTTTTAAATAGAAATATTACATTGATAACTAATAATTCACCATAGGTGGTCTTGTTTGAACAAATATATATCATAATTTTCTATCTATTTTCTTTAGATCATACATGCATGCATGTATATAGTCAATTAATATTAAACAGATTTGAGTGATGCAATTGTTATTACTTTATCGATCAATATTCATCTCTGTATGAGTTAAGTAAGGTGTGAAAAGGTACATTTATATTGATTGAGGGGCGGAATAGCACGTGAATGGAAGAATACTAATTGGTATGGCTTAAGGGAAGTTTTCTTTTGATTTGATAATTTTCATTTTTTTGAACTAACGTTAATCGATTTGCAGAATCGATCGAAAATTTGAGTTAGATGTGAAAAAAAACATTCAAAGATCGTATGTATATAAATTTAAGTTTATTTGAAGATTTGTCCATTATAGTTTTGAATTAAATTATAATCATATTTTTTTTTCCGTTTGAAACACACATACACTCTTTGCTTCTTCTTTCTTGTGAAGAATTAAGAAATGAAAAGAATCACTTCTTATATTTTAATTGTAAGTTTAGGTGAACATGAATTCGATTTTATCTGAGAAACGCTGACCACGTAAAGAGAGAAGAGAAACAAAAACATAGAACAAGCCTAATCAGCAGCTTCTGCTGAGAGACGTCTTAATCAGTTATCGTGAATTAAAAGTTATTGTCGGTCTACAATGAAACAAAACAGGCTAAATAGACTTGCTGCTGCTTAGATTCATAAAGATCTCGATATAAATCCAGATGAAATATCGAAATTATATACATAAATGACTTCTCGTCGTTAAATCAACTAAAAATACACATAACTCGGACTTAAGATCTGAGTTTAATGCATGTTTGATTAAAAGAATCTCATCTCATTTTTTCTGTTTTCTTCCACATTATCAGTACTTTTCTGGGCCAAAAAGTTTTGGCTTATTAATAAAAATATTAGCAATCATCATATTTCAGTTACTTTTAAGGCATATTCTAAAATATTATCTTAATTATATAAGAGAATAAATAGATTTCTTTCTTCATTTTGAAGACGATAAATGCCCGTCGCTGAATAATCAGTCTTATTTCAAGATATTCATCTATCTCTGAAATTAGCTCTCAGTTTGTTATTGTGAAAATATTCAATGACGAAAGAAAATAATTTCATCATAATATGAAACTAATACTATGAGAAACGTTAATGACCCATATAGTATATTCTTCGAAATAAAAATGACCTTGAAAAACAATGGTAATGTTTCACAAATGATTCCACTTTTGTGTACATTATCGATCGAGGTTATTGGACCTATATTCAATATGTTTAATGCACGATTGCTCTTTTGTCATTTCGTTACGTCTGTATATAGTTAAATATAATTACAGATACGCATCACCAATACTAGAGAAAAAAAAACGTCAGTGGTATCTTAAATTAAGATTTTAGTCATTTGTACAATGTTATTGATAAAAAACATGCATAGAAAAAAAATATTTTGAAAGAAACAAATATTGTAAACAAAAAAACAAGTTATTTCTATTAATTTATATGTAGTATCATGACATTTCCGATACACTTTCTACTTCCATGATTTACTCATTTATATCAATAAATGTCTGTAAATTTTAAAACGTTTTGCAATTATTGTAGGTTTCGGTGCATATTGTGATCTAGCTTCGACATAAATTCGTATGTTGAATGAGTCATATTTATACAATCTGATTTTTAGAGTGTTTATTACAATAATCTTTAAATCTTAACAATATTACGAAATTTAAGTTATTATCTTGGTATATGCATTTTTTTGTGATTCAGATAAAAAGGATTGAATGATATACTTTTCTTCAAGATTTCTCTTTTGATACGAATAAAAGACATTGAATTTCGTTGTCATGCTTAGTTTATGATGTGAATGTCAAATACATAATAGATTCAATTTATAAATAAGTAATTAAACAGCTGGTTAAAGCATATTCGATAACTAATAATAATAAATCCAATGAATTAATCACATTTCATATTCTAATCCGGATAAAAATTTATTTCAAAGAAATATCGTAAAATCAAAAATGATTATGAAGTTTTATTACTCATACTTCCTCGAACAGGAAATTCGATAAAATATCATCCTATTTCCGTACTTGTACATCGAGTATGATACTCAAGAAAAAAAACTTATTCGTTCTACAATATATAATGCACGTAGGAACTACGTATGCGCGTGTTATTTTCAATTGAAGGTTATATAAAGTCATGCTTGATCGCTCTTTGTTCTCCTGCTCTGTACATTATTCTTCATTTAAGCGTGCATACCACATCACAACGTCAACAGGCCATTTGCCGTTCGAACTATTAACTTATTCATGATAGCGTAAAGAATGGCGTCAATTAAAAAACCAAACTTTGGACATGTTGTCTATGATTCAGGTACAGATGCAGCAACTGGAAAGAAACGAGCAGGTATTAATATTAATAACATTGAATTTTATTATTTAATTTTGTGTTTTAATATAGTTATACCAGGTGGTGGAGTAAGTGTAGCTGAACGTGCACGTTTATTCGGTGAACAAGTACCACATTCATCACCAGCAAAAACTTATAATTCAGCAAATCATCTATCACAGCGACCTCCACTTAATAATCAATCAACTAAATCAAATGTCATTCATCAAGAGAGAAACTATCAACAACCACCGCCTAGAACAGATATTGATCGACGTCCAAAACAAAATACATCTTCGTACAAAAACGAAATTCTTCTAATCAAATAAATATTCTTTTCTTTCATTTAGTTTTAATTCACAAAGAGTAACAAATATTCAACGACCAGCTTTAGATATCAATGATAGACCAAGACGTGAACAAATACCACCAGTAAATTCACGAAATTATTCACAAACAACACGATCATATAATCATACTTCACATTCACCTCCACAACGACGACCTGTTACTACTTATGATAGTTTTCATCATGTTAATTCACAACAAAGACAACCAATTAATAAAGCAAAACACGCTCATTTCATATCCGGTGAATCATATTCATCTGAAGATGATGATAATACATATTCTGCACTTTATGAAAAATCAAAATCATCCCATAAGACTACACATCAACAACCAAATTATTTTCGACCGATACAAGATCCTTTAGATGTTCTATTTAAAGATTCACCACAAGAATATATTCAATATGAAATGCCGACAAAACCAGCCTATACTGCCGAGACGAGTAGTCTACAACCATTTGATCTTTCAAGTTTAATTGAACGTATTCAACAAGATTATGCTGATAATGCACGACCATATGTATCAAGTGTACAATTTGTTCAACATAATCAAAGTTTAGCTAATATTGGATTTTTAACACCAGCTACTAATCGAAAAGGTTTCTTCGATTGTTTTAAATTTTTAGTTAATTTAATAAGTTATTCAATTTAAGATTATATACAACGACCTAGAAATATATCTGATCGACAAGCACCATCATCAAATCAGTATGATATTATAAATACAAATGGTTTTTATCCGTACGAGAAAAGACATCCGAGACAACCCTATGCTGAAAATAACTATTCATCTATGAAAAGAACAAGACATCATAAACGTTATCATAATCAAGCATCATCTCCTATTCGTAAGAAAATTGAATCGAATAGTATGATTCATTATTTATTTTTTGTTTTTATATAGATATTCTCGAAACATCTGGCAGAAATAATTCACGGCATCGACCAGAACGTGAGTGACTAATAATTTTGAAGTTACGTAATATAAAAATTATTTAGGTCCACCGACTCCTCCACCTCCTCCACCGAAAGTACCAACACCAGTTGCATCAAGTTCTAGTGAAGAAGAAGAAGAAGAAGAAGTAGTAGTAAAGAAGCCCGTAATACTAGAAAGTTCATCTGAAGAGGAATCTGAAGAAGAGAGTGCAGCAGCTCCAGCACTACCACCACCTATCCAAGCTATTAGTAAACCAGCTCCTACCTCCATACCAACGGTAACTGGTCGTACACCACTATTAAATTCCACAGCTCGACCTCCAGCACCAGCAAGTGACACTGAAGAAAGTGACTCTGACGAATCAGAAACTGCGTCTGAGAGTGAAACTGATGATAGTGATAAAAAACCAAAACCAAAGCCAAAACCAACACCTGTACCAGTTGCTCGATCTAATGTTCAACGAACAACACCTCTTACACCACAAGTAAATGCTCGAGTCACTCCTCAACGAGGCAATATTGATAATCGTAGTGTAACACAAGTGTCGGAACCATCTCGTAAGAAAAAAAAATTTTTTTTCTTCTAAAAATATTAATTTTTTCTTCTAAAATTCTACTTAGATTCAGTTCATTCTTTTGATTTAAATGATTCAGGAAAATCATCATTTGGTGGTAAAATAAAATCATTAACAAATAAATTTCGTCGAAATAAATCCTAATCAATATTGACTGTTTTGTATATTCTCTTTTCAAGAGAATAAATACGACTGCTTTATATTATCTATATCTGAGCTAGCAGTTTAACTAGATACATGTGTTTTTTTTGTCTTCTTTTCAATCAATATATTGTTGATATTTTATATTTTCGTCTATTTTTTTTTCTAAAAAACAAAAATCTCGCCGCGAAAAAAAAAAGAATAAATTCTAATAATATTATTCATTTCGAAAAAGTCTATCCGATTTTACACACTGATATTACCTTTTCGAATCTTAATGTCATTACATTTTATGAATCATATTGAAAATATTCCATTAGTTCGAAAGTATAGTCCATTAATGTGTGATATTCTTTTGGAATTACGAAATTCTGGTGAATATTGTGATGTTATTTTACGTACGGATGATCAACATCTTTTTAATGTTCATCGAGCTATACTTTGTTGTAAGATAAATTCAAAATTTTTGTGCAATAGAATTTCAATTTACGTTTTTTTTGAAGCATGTAGTTCATTTTTTCGAGCACTTTTCACAAATGGAATGAATGAAACAACAGATCAAATCGTTGATATTCATGATATTAATGGTGATATAATGGATTTAATTATTGATTATGTCTATACACATGAAATAAAACTAAATGAAAATAATATTTTTGAAATTTTATTAGCTGCTAATCAATTACAAGTCTTAGAATTATTTTCTTTATGTGAAAATTATTTACATGATAAACTTAATCCAGAAAATATCTTAGGTATTCGAGAATTTGCATCATTTTTTTGTAAGTTAATTTAATTAAGATTAATAGAAAAAATTGTTTTTTTTGTTTTTTAAGTTTGTAAAAAACTTTATGAACAAACACAAATTTATCTTTTGTATGTAAATCGAAATTTCTTCTTTTTTTTTATGAGAAATATAATTTCTATAGAACTAATTTTACGGAAATATCGATAAAAAGTGAAGAATATTTGGAATTAAAACTTGAACAAATTATTGATATACTCAATTCTGATGAATTAAATGTTAAAAGTGAAGAAGCTGTTTTTGATGCTAGTATACGATGGATCGATTGGAAAATTGATGAGAGAAAAAAAGTATGATATGATTATATCAAGATTTATATAGAGAGATAAAAACTAAGCATATATCATAACCTTGTTCTTGATTTAAACATGTGATATAAGAAGAATGAATGATATACATATGTCCACTTCTTATTGATTTCGATAGATATCGTTGAGATGAGAATGTAGTAGTTATATGTCTCTCGGACAATTTAGTCAATAGCAAATAATTTACTAAGGACGTGACAGATTAGTTTTGCTAAATTTCTATATAATATGCATACTATTTTTTTTTGTTGATGTAAGAACATTGTCGATTTACTTAAATGTGTTCGATTGGGTTTATTAACAACGAATTTTTTTATTGAAAAAGTCAAATGTCATCCATATATAGTCAATAATGAAGCTTGTAAACCATTAGTTATTGATACATTAAAATATCTGTATGAATTAGATGTTGATACTTATCAAGTTTGTTGTTTATTTTCAATAGAACAAAAAAAAAGACATTATCGTCTATTCTAAAGGACTCACTGGTACAAAATCCAATTGCTAGACCGCGTGTGCCACATGAAATACTTTTTGTGTGTGGTGGATGGTCAGGAGGAAGTCCAACATCAGCAATTGAATTATATGATGTAAAATTTTTCTATACGAAAAATTCAAATGATTTAATTGAATATTAAGATTGTTTAGACGCGCGCTGATAAATGGATTCAATTACCATTTAATGATAAATGTATGTTTTATCTTTCGTAAAAAAACAATTAATAAATTTCCTTTGTTTTTAGTTTCTCGTGCTTATCATGGAATAGTAACAATTAATGGTTTAATTTATATTATTGGTGGTTTTGATGGAATGGATTATTTTAATTCATGTCGAGTTTTTAATTCACAAATATTTCAATGGAATGAGATTGCACCTATGAATGTTAAACGGTAATTTATCTATTTATTATTAAATGTGATTTTCTTATTTTAGTTTTAAAGTTGTTATGTAAGTGTTGCTGTACTTGATGGATTTATTTATGCAATGGTAAATTTGAATAAAAAATTATTTTATAGAAAGAAAAGAAATTAATTTTTCAGGGAGGTTTTGATGGTCATTTACGACAAAATACTGCTGAAAGATATTCACCTATATCTAATCAATGGCTTCCTATTCCATCAATGCATGCTCAACGATCAGGTTTTTTTATTTTTGAAAAATTATTTCCATATAATATATATATTTATATTCTTCAAGATGCATCAGCAACTGTTCTTCAAGGTGAATAGTTTTTCTATTAATAAAATAATTGATAGAAATTTAAGATAGATAGATAGAATATATATTTGTGGTGGTTTTAATGGACAAGAATGTATGAATAGTGCTGAATATTTTGATCCAAAAACGAATCAATGGACATTAATTGCACCGATGCGTAATCGACGATCGGGTGTTGGTGTAATTGCTTATCGTAATTCAATTTATGCATTGTTTGTCGAGATTAATATCATGTTTTAATTAACAATAATTCAATTTTTTTGCTTAGAGGTGGATTTAATGGATCAACACGAATGACATCTGGCGAAAGATATAATCCAAAAACGAATACTTGGATGTCTATATCTGATATGTACAATCCTAGAAGTAATTTTGCTATTGAAGTATGTTTATTTATTTTAAATAAATAAATTAATGATAAAATATTTTTCTAGATAGTGGATGATTATTTATTTGTTATTGGTAATATAGAATTTTGTTTTCTATATGGTAAATAAACGTTAATTTAATTAGGCGGATTTAATGGTGTAACAACTATATTTAATGTTGAATGTTTTGATGATATAACTGAAGAATGGTATATTGAATTAAACATAATAGAAAGAGAGAAAATGGATGATTTTTGTATCTTTAGGTATGATGCAGCTGATATGAATGTATTTCGTTCAGCTCTATCAGCTTGTGTACTTTCGGGTCTTGATACTATTCGAAATTTAATAACATTTGCACGACAACAAATACTTGATGAACAAAAATCTAAAAATCTAAATATAACCAATACAGACCCAACTCAACCATCGATTATGCCTGTTGGTACTTTATCAGCAGCTGTTGGTGCATTATCAGCGACAATTGATAATATAATAACAAATTAATATTACATAAGTTTTTTTACTATATAAATATTAACTTATGTTTTGAGCAAAGATCTGTTATCATGATTTTACTTTTTTTTGTGTTACATTTCATTGAATTAAAGAAGAAAACTACCAAATTATATAAATTGCTCTATTTAGATGAATAAAAATAAGAAGAATGAGACATGACAATACAATACAATAAAGACACATGAGATAAAACAAACAACGGAAATAATCTGTACCAGCCTTAGTAGTTTGGTTGACCGCAATAAGTTAATGCTATTCTATTGAAAAGATATAATGGTTATATTTTGTTTAAAATAAACATCGAACATATTTTCTTTTATCACATACACAAGCTATGGAAATAAAGAATGTAAAGGAAATACACAACTGTTCGAATATATGCATATATATAGATTCATATACACGCAACTCGATTAATGTTAATTGAGAATAAAAGGTTAATTTTAAATGCGGTAATGACTACAGACGGAAAAAAGAAAGAGAAGTTTATGAGATAAAACCAATATTTGTTAACATGAGAATGTTTATGCCTTGATTGCACGTTTTTTAGTATCATTATCTGATCCTTTTGTTGTTGTACGTACAAGTCTAGATAAAAGAAAAACAAAATTCATCAGTATTTATATAAAATAAAGATAATTTATATATTTACGGATCATTTGCTTGATCTTGATCATCATCATCTGTAGTAATATTTTTCTTATTTGATTTTTGCCGTTTTTCAAAGATTAAAATTATAATAACAAGTACAACGACAACGCCTACAATACCAAGAAATGGCCAAAGTGCTGCCAATCGGTCTAATTAAACAAAAACAACAACATATTGTTTTTTCTCATAAAAATAAAATTTCATCAAACCTTTAACACGTAATAAAACTGTAAAATGAACATCATTAAGTTCACAACGATAATAACCGCGATCAGTTTTTTTAACTCCATTAATTCTCAATTCATTGTCTTTTATAACAATTGCATCATTTACAGTAGTTTGGTCCGATAGATTAACGAACGTTTTATCGTCTTTACTATATGACCATACGACTTTACTTAAATCTACATTCTCCTTTGGTGCAATTTGACATACAAAATCAACTGATTCATCTTCCATACGTCGTACTGATCCATGAGCTGAATCTAATTTTTCATTGTCTCGATCTGTTTCCATACCTTGTGGAGATGCTTTAACTAATAAAAGAAAGGTATACATATCATCGTGATGAAATGCTTATATTTACGTGATATTTGATCAAATGAACATTCGGGTGGTCTTTCATAACCGGCTTTATTTGTTTTAACATACCATTTCTTAACTAGTGCATCGGCTTCAACTTGAAAAAAATAAAAAATTATTTTATTTTCTTACAAATTCCTTTTCTTTGTTTTACCGAAAATTTTTATTGTTAGATTTGATTCTTTGTCGTTACTTTTAACACCATAATGACCGGATTTTTCATTGTTTACAGATGAATCATCATCACCTCTATACCATTCAAGAAATTCTCCACTACCATCACCGTCATATATACATCTTAATTCAAGTGAACGTCTTAATACAGCTTTCGTATCAGCTGTTGTTTGTGGTACTCCACTGTATCCTGCATTGAGATAATAAATGGAATTCAATACTACATAGAAAAAAAAATAATATAAAACATATTTGATCGTATTCAAAAAAATATTGATTTATAGCACTAATTAAATTAAGGGAGTTGGATTCAATAGATATAAAGAAAAATCATTTTCGATTTCGATTTATTCTGTCAAACTTGTCACATTCAAGATACTCTATATATATAGTTTTCAAAGAATTTATACCTGTAAAAAGAATGAGAAATATTTTTGAATATGCCATTTGATGAGTAATAATAATTTGGAATGATTGAATGATATGAAGAAAAACATTGATTCCCTAGTTGTTGTTGTTGTTGTTATTAATTAGTATTGTTTACTTTTTAGCTTCGTGAAATTTTATTTTATATATAAAGAAAAAAATAATCTTTCGATTTATTTATTTTAATTTGATAAAAATATTTCAAGATAACGAAAACTATTTTTCTCGCTTATGATTTGTTGAAAATTAGACCAATCAAAATATAGAGAATATTTATTTGCACTATCTCTTCTTCACGTAGGTGATTAGTGACTAACGTACTTGTTGTCATCACGGCTCATTTTTTTAATCGAATCAGTAGTTTTATAATGAATACATACGCAAAACTTCTTATTCGACTGCAACCCAGTGGCCGTCAATTACTTCAACAACAACAACAACATGAACAAATTGCTTCATCTCTTCCAACAGTAAAACTTTTACTTTCATATTAAATATATTCAAAAAAAATAATATTTTCATTTAGGTATTTTCTTCCGTAAGAAAAGCGAGTAGTGGAACTACACTCGAATATGATACACCAAAAGCTTATAAACTTCATATGCTTGAAAAAGGTCCAAGTACTCATGTGTCATGTAATCGTGAAGAAGGTTTAGAGTATTATAAAAAAATGCAAGTTGTACGTCGAATGGAAGCATCCGCTAATAATATGTATAAATCAAAATTAATTCGAGGTTTTTGTCATCTTTATTCTGGACAAGTTAGTTATTCTTTTTTTTGAGGAAAAATTAAAGTAAATTAATTTTTCTCTTAGGAAGCTGTTTGCGTAGGTATGAAAGCAGCTATGGATAAAAATGATTCATTAATTACTGCTTATCGTGCACATGGTTGGACATATATGATGGGTGTATCTGTTACAGGTATATTAGCAGAATTAACAGGTAGAAAAAGTGGTTGTGCTGAAGGACGTGGTGGTAGTATGCATATGTATGCACCAAATTTTTATGGTGGAAATGGTATTGTTGGAGCTCAAGTACCATTAGGAGCAGGAGTATGTAGAATAAAATCTCAAAAAAAAGGATGATCTAACTTTAATAAATATATTCATAGGTTGCTTTTGCTCATAAATACCGTGGTGAATCAAATGTTTGCATTGCATTGTATGGTGATGGTGCTGCTAATCAAGGACAAGTATTTGAAGCATATAATATGGCTAAATTATGGTCCTTACCATGTATTTTTGTATGTGAAAATAATGGTTATGGTATGGGTACAAGTACAGCACGTGCTAGTGCTAATCCCAATTTTTATACTCGATGCGAGTATATTCCCGGTATTTGGGTCGATGGTATGGATGTACTTGCTGTACGTGAAGCAACACGATTTGCTCGAGATTGGTGTACATCTGGAAAAGGTCCTATGATTATGGAAATGGCAACATATCGTTATTTTGGTCATTCAATGTCTGATCCAGGAACGAGGTATTTAAACAAAAAAAAAAAGAAAAGACTTCAATATACTTTTCAATATTTTAGTTATCGAACTCGTGAAGAAGTTCAAGATGTTCGAAAAAGTCGTGATCCAATAACATCATTCCGAGAAAAAGTTATCGAAGCTAATTTAGCTACTGATGAAGAATTTAAAGTAAAAAAATTATTTTAATCTTTCTTCTCAATAATATTTTTTATTTTTAGAATATTGATAATGAAGTTAAAAAAATAATTGAAGATGCTGAAAATCATGCACAAAATGATCCAGAATTACATGTTGATGAATTATATTCACATGTTTATTCAATGCGACCAGAAAATTTCAAAATACGTGGATGCGACAATTTTACTTTTAAGGAAATAAGCAAATAAACAATCTCGGTTTTTTTTCTTTTTATTATTTACATCTAAAATTAGATTGAATCTCAAGCATACATTTTTTTCATTTTCTATTTATTTTTGCATCCGTCATAAGAAACAAAAAGAAAAAAAGAAGAATACATTAATTTAGATTAACATATTTTCTTCAGATCAATAATGACTGAATCTACATCTACTCAACAACAGAAATCATCATCATCATGGTTTGGTAATTTTGATTTATCAAATCAATTGTCTAACATAAGCTCATCGATTCTTCAAGCAACAACAAAAGCAGGCACAGTTGCAAATACAATTGTACAAAATTCAATGAAACAACGACCATTTACATCGAAAGAGAATGAACAAGAAACTTCCGAAACAAATAAAGATTTAACAAGTAGATTTTCCTTTTTAATTGATTTTATCAACAGCAGGAAAATAATTTTATCTCTAGGCATTTTTACTGATCTTAGTTCGACTGTATTAAAAAGTGCTCAACAATTAAAACAGGCTGTTGAACAAAAATCTTTATTTGGAAATTTTACTAAGGAACAAGATAAATTCTTAATAGAAAAACGTATACAACAACGTCGTGAAGAAACAGCTGTTCCTCCATGGGTTGGTTATACAGAAGAAGAAGATATGAAAAAACAAATTCTAGCTCTGTCACAAGTTTGTTTCTTTATTAATCGTTTTTTTATTTAATTAAATACTTTGATTTTAGGAAAAACGTAATTTTCTTCGTGATCCACCACCAGGCGCCAATTATCATTTTGATATGACTGTTATATATCCAATTGCATTAGCAACTCTTGATGTTGATGAAAATTTAAAACAAATGCGTTTTGATCTTGTACCAAAGCAGTAAGATTTATTTCTATACTTAAAAACAAGTAACGCTCGTTCGAAGACTCGCTTAGCTCTTTCTCGTAGAAATGTATTCTTTTCACATTTACTGGAAAAATCAGTTTTCGATGTTTTTTTGACCTTTCCCCCTCCTAACCATGGTTATCCAACAGACCCTAGATTCGAAATACTACTAGAAATGTCTTTTTTGAAAGATCAGTTTTCGATGTTTTTTTGACCTT